GTGTATAGAGCTAACCACAATATCCCACAGTATATACGGAAATAGTTTAAAAGTTAACTCTAATTTCATCTGCCCGATGCAACTGAGTTTTCTACAAAGAGTTCGCTTTGAATTTTCCTGATGACGGAAGTAAAATAAGTGTTTGGCATGTTAATTACTCTGTCGAATACATCTAGGGAGAGGCACTGTAATATTAAACGATGCACTTCAAATGCTAATGCGCCTGCCTAGCGCATCATTGTGACGAAAACGGAAATCCCCGATTTAAACGTAGGCTATCCAGTGTGCGACCTAGATCAAGGTCTGCATTTCCGGAAACGAAAAACTGAAATTGAGTCTTCGCATAAAAAGTACTACGTGTAAAAATAAACCGGGAGTGATCTCCCCTAAACTTTCTCGAATATTTTTATATAAAATAACAGGGGATGGGAACTCGGGCTATAGACATGATTTTTAATCCATTTTAAATACTTAAAGTTTTAAAAATAGAATAAAATCTCGTAGACAAATTAATTGCACACCAAGTGAACGCGAAATAAAAAAGCGCATAATAGTGCGCAATATTATTAGTACTTTTAAAATTTACATTAGTTTTTTGAGAAATCGGAAGTAGCGTAAATTACTACTTCCGGTCAACAGAAATTACTCAAAATTTAACAGAAGGTGGAGAATTAGATCTTTTACTTACATGTGAAATTTCATTTATCTATCTGAAATAGTACTCAAGTTATAGGCTTTTAAAAAATTCAAAGTAGAAAAAGTACCACTTCCGGTAATCGGAAATCGCTCAAAAGTTGATACGGATCTACGATTTTGATAAAATACTTATATATGAAATTTCATCAACCTAGCAGTAACGGTACTCAAGTTATCGTGTTTACACACGGACACACAGACACACACACACACACAGACATACGGACAAGATTGCAAAATTATGTTTTTCCGTATCAGTGAGGTGTAAAACGTCGAGATTTGTAAAAATCTCGATTTTTTTTTTTTGCACGATTACAATACTTTCTCTATACTACGTATATACGAGAAAGTAAAAAAAAAACAAATCCTCATTAAAAAAAACGCGAAGCTAATTCGACTATCAAGAATCGATTCGCGAACAATGTCTCGATTTGCGAACCAAGACTCGATTAGTGATTCAAAACTCGAACAGCGAAACGTGGAGTTTCAACAGTGGAGTTTATCCTTGTATTCATAATATTATGTCATATTTGTTGTGTTATGAAACATTTGAAATAAAAAATCTCGTAATAAATAATGAAATTAACTCTCGTCTTGATGTTCATGTGTGTCTAAACACTCGTGAGCTCTTTCTTAGCTCGCCCTGAGCTAAGTTTCAGTCGTGTATATCCCCTATCACCTATCCACATCGCTATCCACCCCAACCCCCAGCACACCCACTCCTAGCTTCTCCATATATACATCAATTACACTACAAGAATTTTCGTATGAACCTTGTTCCAAAATCTGAATGAAATATCTATACAACAACCACTTGTACAATATACATCAGATCAATATAAAGTATTTTTTAAAATAAGTATTACTTTTCTGAAGACGGCAACACGTCCATGTTTAGCGTGACTACAACAAACAGGCCCTTTTCTTCACCTAACCCCCAGACATAACTACAAATTACCGCCTCTCTATCACTCGTATATTAATTAAGACTAATCAGACATGCCAATAGTGTGTGAAGCTTATTCGAGTTAAAAATAGATCAGACTGCTTGTACAAGATCTCAAGGACTGTCTGATGACCCGGGTAATTATCATATTAATTAACTTAATTTTCGTGACACGACCGTGTTTTTACTAAAGGGCTCGAACTGTTAAAGTAAAGGCAACCTTTTGAACCTGGCGGCCTATGGGGCAGGTGAAGTAGAGTTCGACTGTTTTTTTTTTTACATCGGCATATGAATGGAATATGTTGTCAGCAATATGCCCAGCCTGCTTTACTTTCCCTAACGTGAGTTAGGTACCCATTACAGCTGAGTTGACTCAGAAACATGACAAATGTAAGCATCAGCAAAAGTCTGAGCGAGATAAAAAGAATGGTGGAGGAATTATTCAAAGTTAGTGACGGTGATATAAACTTAATTAACTTCCACGATGAGAGAGATAATTAAAGGCAATTTTAACACGCGTAATTTATTTTTTTATGCAATGATCGTAGGAGTGGATTTTTTCTAACAGGAAACTTTAATCACCAGGCCTAATTGAAAGCACAATCAGAGGACATAGTAACTAATTGACACATCAATCAACCGAGAGATACTGTCATCAACGACAGTCAAGAATCGACACTGCGATCAACGCAGTCATTAAGAATCACAATCACAGTAATTGATAATCGGTGGCCGGAAAGAACCGCAACGGAAAAAAGCGCAACGGAAAAAAGCGCAAATCAAAAAGCGCAACGGAAATAAGCGCACACGGAAAAAAGCGCAAAGAGAAAAAAGCGCACACAGAAAAAAGGGTAATGAAAACATGTAAACAAAAGGGACGCTACTCTAAATCTATGCGAATACTTATATGCAGTGGCGTAGGCAGGGGGGGGGGGTTTATGGGGGGTCATAACCCCCCCCCATAGACCCCTCGGTATATATATATATATATATATATATATATATATATATATATATATATATATATATATATATACGCTTTAAATGGTAGTAGATCACGTGATCAAACACGACACTCTAGAGCAGCCCTAACAGTCATGTATAAATGTGTCATCTAGTCCATATGGTCTTTGTGCTAAATTTCTCTTTTGCACATTTTTCTTTGTGTTTTTTCTGGTTGCGCATTTTTCTGTTTCTGTTTGCGCTTTTTCCGTTTGCGCTTTTTTCTGTGTGCGCTTTTTTCTGTTTGCGCTTTTTTCCGTTTGCGCTTTTTTTCTGTTTGCGCTTTTTTTCTGTGTGCGCTTTTTTCTGTTTGCGCTTTTTTCCGTTTGCGCTTTTTTCTGTTTGCGCTTTTTTCCGTTTGCGCTTTTTTCCGTTTGCGCTTTTTTCCGTGTGCGCTTTTTTCTGTTTGCGCTTTTTTCCGTTTGCGCTTTTTTCTCTTTGCGCTTTTTTCCGTTTGCCGCTTTTTTCTGATTGCGCTTTTTTCTGTGTGCGCTTTTTTCTCTTTGCGCTTTTTTCTGTTTGCGCTTTTTTCTCTTTGCGCTTTTTTCCGTGTGCGCTTTTTTCTCTTTGCGCTTTTTTCCGTTTGCGCTTTTTTCTGTTTGCGCTTTTTTCTGTGTGCGCTTTTTTCTCTTTGCGCTTTTTTCCGTTTGCGCTTTTTTCTCTTTGCGCTTTTTTCTGTGTGCGCTTTTTTCTCTTTGCGCTTTTTTCCGTGTGCGCTTATTTCCGTTGCGCTTTTTGATTTGCGCTTTTTTCCGTTGCGCTTTTTTCCGTTGCGGTTTTTTCTGGGAACCTTGATAATCACACTAATTAATAATTGCAGGAATTAATAATCATAGTAACAGATACTCTGGTAACTCATAGAACGAACGCCTCATAGAACGAACGCCTCATAGAATAAACGCATCATAGTTCGAACGCCTCAATGAAGGAACGTATCGTAGAACGAACGCCTCGTAGAACGAACGCCTCATAGAATAAACGCATCATAGTACGAACGCCTCACAGAAGGAACGTATCGTAGAACGAACGCCTCATGGGACGGGCGCCTCATGGAACGAACGCATCTTAGAACGAACGCAATTCATTCACAAATAAATTTAACGATTCAGAACAGAGTAAATATTTCGCTTTACGGCATAACTTTGCATTGAGATTAAGATGCAACAATTAAAAGGCACATTATAATAAAGACATCTAACGCCCCGGATTTAGCAGGATTTGTTTTTATATACGTTGTATAGATTTTGTAAAAAAAAAAAAAAAAAAAAACCGACATCCAATTATTTGGTGTTTATAAAATGGTCGATGCGATATGTTGGTTTGTGAAGTATAGCGTTACAAAAAAATATTTGATAATTATTCTGCTTTAAATTAATGTCGGGAGATGGGGGTTGGACACTATTAAAAAGATATAATGTTATAAACTTTGAGTGCGTATAAATCTGTTCCACTTTTGCAAAATATCGATGTATTTTGATGATACTAGTAGAATAGACATGTCAAAGATGCAATTTTTCATTTTAAAAGGTGGTGGTCAGAGGGGGGGGGGGGACGAAACCGTCCGATTGTTTTTCTATTTTTTTTTGTTGAGACAACTAAGTTTTGTAAAAAAGAAAAAAAAAAAGAAATTTTATTTTCATGGGTTTAAATGTATAACATAATGTATGGGAAAGATAACCAATGCTCACTAAAGTATTACTTTTTTAAAAAATAACACACCTAAACGTTTTTTATTAAACAGTACGATAATTAAATGATTAATGAACAGAGCGTGGTATCAAGAAACAAATGATGGCTTAATTGAAACAGTCAATCAAAGATTGTATTACGAATAACGATCTGGACTTTGATTTCCTGGAGATATTCCTGTATTCACAAAATAAGTTTTAATTAACAACGCAAAACAAATTTGAAGATCTATGCGTTTGTTTTTATAAAAGCTTTTAAGATGTCTAATTTCTAAATATTTGAATATTTTAAATTAATTATTTTTAAAAAAAACTTAAAGGGTGAAAATTAACTGCAATTAAATCAGTTTATACTCAGGAATACACGTTGAACACCTGAATGATTTCCATAACTTTTTTTTTTATCTTTAAAAACTAAAACAGTATCATTAGTATCAATTCTTTATTTTTTTAAAAAGCAACATTAAATGAGGATTCTTTTTAAAATTAATAACTAATTTCTATCTCACTTTTTAATAACTAATACTTACCATGCCTGAATGATTTCCATATGCAAATTTTTGTCTTAAAAAACTTAATTAGTACCAATACTTTCTTTTGTTAAAAAGCTTAACTAAATGAGGTTTTTTTTTTCATTTCTATTTTACCATTTAATAAGTCATACTTACCATAAAGTAATGCAGTTATCCAGATACATTTTCCAAAATCCATTTTGGTTTTTTATTTTTTAAGCTGCCACCAAACGACGCCTTACCCTGTTGTTTTATTTTGTTCGTGCGCAGCTTGAAGTAGAGAGGCGAGGACAGCTCACAGAGGGAAAGTATGGACCAACTACTTGCAGGGTCTTATATCCAAAGGGGTGTGTCCTAATCGTCCCCTAACTGCTGCTAGTATCATCGCACACACGCACATACATACATACATTCACACGCACGCACACACACCCCTCCCCAAACATCTCGTAGACGGAATATAAAAGAAATATTTCGAATGTAAATATTAACCGGAATTGGTGTGAAATAAAAAAGTAGCCCAGACAAAAAAAAAAGTGAATAGATTTTAGTATTTGACGTTCCTTTTTTTTATCCCAAAGAGAGGGTGTGTATACATCTTTTTTTTTAAATTTATTTTATTTAAAACACACGAAAACCATATCAGGGTGTGACTTCCATACCTGCATTTTTTTTTTACTAGTCGTTTAGAGATTTCTTTTTGTTTGGCTATTTGTTGAAAAATGTATCTGGCCTTGTTGTGTTTATTATGCAGTTTTATTTAAATACGGCTTATTTAAATAGGAGTCTACTGTTCTGTATTTATTTTGATGTGAATTTAGTGCTAATTGCTCGAGGGGTGCGGAAATGTCTAAACGATTAGCCGTACCAACATTAGATCTACTTAGATTTAGTCGCGTACATGCGACACTATTAGCTAGTAGAATATTTGTATCAATTTATGTGTGGTTGTTGTTTGTTTTGTTGTTGTTTTTTAGGGGGGGGGGGGGGGGGGTAATGAAACGAACTATCTATAATCCAGCCCCACTAAACAAATTTTTTTTTAAAGAAAAAAACAAATTGATTATTATGTTTTTATTATTTTTAAAATATGGTATCCTGTGTTGCTGTTCAATGTGTCATATAATTATTTTCATTTTTTATTTTGAAAAAGAAGATTGAGATGGATAGACCAACAAATATTACCATACAAGGCATATCATGGAATCCACAACAATCAAAAAGTAGAGGGAGACACAAAAGATCTGGCGTAAAAAAAAAAAAAAAAAAAAAAAAAATATTGGAAAGAATTGGAAGGAAATAGGCGCAAATAGCATAGAAAAGTAAACAAGGATATTTTTAAAACGCGATGTAGTCAATTAGCAACTATAAAATTCGGACGAAAACGGATACGTCATTTAGACATGCGCACCTAAACAAACGGATGTGGTATTGGTACAAAATATTCTTTAAACAAATCGTAGGTACTAGGAGCCCCGCCCATTACTAACTCATGTACCAATAGGAAGGGGACTGTACCGGGTAGAAGGGAAATAACTCCCTTTCGTTTTCTTCCTACGATACTGCGAAGATATGTTTCAAAGCCGGGGTTTTGGCGGATAAAAGAATGGGCTCTTAGCGTGGGTTTTCTTTGATTCTACGGCAGAAGACTAACACTGGCCTCACGATTTGGGGAGGGGGGGGAGGGGGGGAGGGGGGGGGGGGGGGCGGGATACTTCAGCTGATGTTGGTGACTCATGAATGTGGTCACGTAAGGGGCGGGATGGGGTAGGGGTGAGTGCTAATACAAAAGGTCGTAACTTTTTTTTTAAATTGTTATTTGGGAATGTAATAGAGGTGGAGAGGGAGGGTGGAGTCGGAGCAGTGTAATGGTCCAGTTATTTTCTATCTACGACGTTTGAAAAATTACAAAAACAAAGGTATGAAAAACAATCGACCCAAATAATAAGAGATAAAAATAAAAATTTAAAAATTAAAAACCGAAACAAAATGTATTCGCTGCAACACGGTGAAGCGATAGAAGACAATGATTGAAATTTAGTAATGTAATCGTTCTTAATCAAAAATAGATATTGATCCTTTGCATTAATGTGTACCTATATTTCTAGTAGGAGCCTAACCCGTATAATATTACATTTAAATTATGATTTTTTGTTATGGATAATCTATAAAAACCAGAGGTTGAGAATATATATATATATATATATATATATATATATATATATATATATATATATATATATATATATATATATATATATAGATATAGATATATATCAACAGTAATATATATATATATATATACATACATATATATATATATATATATATATATATATATATATATATATATATATATATATATATATGTATATATATATATATATATATATATATATATATATATATATATATATATATATATATATATATATATATATATATATATAGGCCATGTATTCTGTCTTTCCTGAGGTGTTTTAACTTAAATGGACAGAAATATTTTTTTCTTTAAAAAACTACAAACTACAGAAGCTAGAAAGAAATGCTACCATTTTTTAGGTGTCCCCCCCTCGAGTTAAACCAGGGGTCTCCAAACTACGGCCCGCGGGCCGGATGCGGCCCGCGAGGTCATTTTATCCGGCCCGCGACGATCTTTTTGTCCACTGATTAAATCTTTGTTGGAGGTGGCTGAGGAGCTTTGCACAAAAAATTCAAAACTATTTGAAAATGTAGCTTTGTGTGCAAATAAAATTACTCACCGTGTTGCAGACATTGGTGAAAATATTGCGACTCTAATAGCGAAAAATTCAAGCAAGTTTCGCCATTTTTCAATTGCAATAGATGATTCGCTGGACAGCTGTTCCACCTCTCAACTTCTTGTGTTCATTAGAGGTGTGGGGATGAAGACCTCAACTTAACACAAGAGCTGGCTTCCCTACATGTATGACACTGTTACCGAAGAGGATATCTAACCATAGATAGTTCAGAGACAAACAGAAAATCGCAAGATTTACCATATTTCACATCAGTAAGATTGCTAATTTTGCGAGAAAATTCTGAGCAGAGTATCTAAGAAAAGAAACCGGTGACTTCCTAATAGTAAAGGCAAGTCACAGCCGTTATTGTCTGATGAAGAGGGGGGTATAGAAATTGGCCTCTGCTGCAGACATAATAAGTCATTTAAATTTTCTGAACCTTAAACGGCAAGAGAGTGAAATCTAGTTTCTGATCTATACATTCACCTAAAGGCCTTTAGATACAAACTTGTCATGTTTTTGGAACAAGTACAGGCTAATAACTTAACACACTTTCAGCAGTGCAAGATCGTTACGGCTGAAGCAACCACTGAGTTCCCCACGTCATTTACATATGAGATCATTAAAGACCTCCAGCTGCAGTTTCAGTAGCGGTTTTCTGACTGATTCAAAGGCAGAAGAAGTGAGACTGTTTCAAAGCCTATTTGAAGCAAATGTGGCCAGTTGCAAAGATGAACTGCAGCTGGAAGTCATTGAATTGCAAGAAAATGACTTCCTTACAGACACGTTCAAAGAAGGGCGGATGGGTTTGCATACGTTTTTGCCCAAGGAAGACTTTCCTAACATTAAAACTTTTGCATCAAAGTACATTTCAAATTTTCGTACAACATACCTGTGTGAACAAACATTTTCAAGAATGAAATACGCGAAGAACAATTTGAGAACAAACGTGGACCTCGGGTGGGGGTGGGTACTTGAAATTTGTATATATTTCTATATAAATTATATTTCGTTGGGGGGGGGGGGGGAAGGGGGGGGGTAGACGTTCTTCGGAGGGGGCACGGCCCTGAAGAAATGCTTTAAAGAAACTCTGGCCCCCGAACTGATATTTGATAGTTAATGCGGCCCTCGGGCTGAAAAGTTTGGAGACCCCTGAGTTAAACAAACGCTACACCCCTTTTATTAAGAAGAGTTCTACATCCGGTTTCCCAGCATGCTGTGTAACACTTTCAGCCCAATCCAGACGTATTGCTCGCAGTTGTCGAGAGAGGCTTTTAAAAGGAGAGCAAACACTACTTTTTTTTTTCCTTACTTGGGCAAACTTTACATTTCTTTTCAGCAGATATGGGCCTTAGTAGTAGCTTCAAGCTATCCTACATTATTGAGGGGTGTTGTTTTACGTGTGTGTGTCGCATCCGACTTCAGTAATTTCCCTTGTGGGAAAAGTGTATTAAATTAAATATCGCTAATAGAAAAAAAGATTTCTTTTCAATTTCATGAACAACGTTCAACTTTGGGAGAATGGGGGCTTGGTCAGTGGCGTAGCGAGGTCGGGTGTCACCCGGTGCGGCACTTAATGGTGTCACCCCCCCCCCCCCCCCAGAGGCGTAGCGACCCTTCCCGGGGACAAATTTTCGATTCGCACCCCCCCCCCCTCAAACTTTCGATTTGCACCCTCCCCCCCTCAAACTTTCGATTTGCACCCCCCTCAAGTTTTTCTCTTTATATTTTGCTATTTTTAGCCTTGGTGTCACCCCCCTAAATGTTGTCACCCGGTGCGGTCGGCACACCCCGCCCCCCTCCCATCCCTACGCCCCTGGGCTTGGTACATATACATATAATACTGATTGATTGTATTAGGACATTTCTTAATCTGGAGGTACCGAACCCCGCCCGTTTCATATGTGCTTTCACCGAACCATTCGTAATTTTTAAAAAGTCAGCACTGAAAAATCCGATCGTGAGTCTTATGAGTCGGGTGTGTGTCTTGAACTCCGCAGAAGCCCTAAGACTGACTCACCGAACCCTTAAGACTGACTCCCCTAACTCCTAAGACTGACTCATCGAACCCTTAAGACTGTCTCTCTGAACCCCTAAGACTGATTCATCGAACCCTTAAGACTGACTCACCGAACCCCTAAGACTGACTCACCAAACCCATTAGACTGACTCACCGAATCCCTAAGACTGACTCACCGAACCCTTAAGACTGACTCACCGAACCCCTAAGACTGACTCACCGAAACCCTAAGACTGACTCACCGAAACCCTAAGACTGACTCACCGAAACCCTGTGGTTCGATGGAACCCAGGTTAAGAACTACTGTATTGGGAGAAAAGGGGTGTTTTTAGTTGGGGGGGGGGGGATTTGGGGCTGTGAGTGAGGGGTGTAATAGAGATTTAGAGATTTAGGGTGTAATTGTAAGGGTTGGTGTGTGGGATGTATTTGTGTGCGAAGTATTGATGTGGGAGGTATTGGTGTGTGGGAGGTATTTGTGTGTGGGAGGTATTGGTGTGGGGGAGGTATTGGTGTGCGAGAGGTGTTGGTGTAGAGGATGTATTGTTGTGGGAAGTATTGGTGTGTGGGAGGTATTGGTGTGTGGGAGATACTGGTGTGTGGGAGGTATTGGTGTGTGGGAGATACTGGTGTGTGGGAGGTATGGGTGTGTAATGGTGGTATTAATGTGTAGGGTATTTGTGTGGGAGATATTGGTGTGTGGGAGATATTGGTGTGTGGGAGGTATGGGTGTGTAATGGTGGTATTAATGTGTAGGGTATTTGTGTTGGAGATATTGGTGTGTGGGAGATATTGGTGTGTGGGAGGTATTGGTGTGTGGGAGGTATTGGTGTGTGGGAGGTATTGGTGTGTGGGAGGTATTTGTGTGTGTGGAAGGTATTGTTGTTTGGGAGGTATTGGTGTGTGGGAGGTATTGGTGTGTTGGAGGAACTTGTGTGTGTGTGAGGTATTGGTGTGTGAGAGGTATTGGTGTGTGGGTGTATTGAGGTGTTGGAGTTATTGGCGTGTGAGAGGTTTTGTATGTTGGAAGTTTTGTTGTGCGGTAGGTAATTGTGTGTTGTAGGTATTGATGTGTGTCGGTCATTCTGGACGTCAGTTGTGGTATAATGAAACACAGAGAGATGTGTGGGCACACGTTTCTCGAGAGGGGTGTAAATGGAAGTCTGTGTGGTGAGTTCAGGTTTACGGAAATATGTGCACTGTAGAGTCGGGGTGTGTAAGCACTTCAGGAGGATGTTGAGGAATGTATGCGGAAATCCTGCCCAGGGCCAGATGAGGTTCGTCTTTTCACTGAGTTCATAACCAAAAAATAAAATTTACATTTCTTCATCAAACAAATGTAAAAGAAAGAAGAAAGAAACTTTACTAAAAATTTTACTGGGAATCCGGACTTCCTTGCCCAGCCCTCCCATAAAACCAACATCAGTCTATGATACGCTGCCTAAAGATAGCATCATGTATTTGCACGTCGGAAACTTCCCGATTGGAACTTTTTCAAAGGAAATCTCCATCATGTGTACTGGTGACGTCGTTTCAGGATAGGAATCGGTAGCTAACTGTTGATAAGTCAGATAAAATGCGGTGCTTTACTGTTGATAAGATGGGGTGCTTTACTGTTGATAAGATGCGGTGCTTTACTGTTGATAAGATGGGGTGCTTTACTGTTGATAAGATGGGATGCTTTACTGTTGATAAGATGGGGTGCTTTACTGTTGATAAGATGGGGTGCTTTACTGTTGATAAGATGCGGTGCTTTACTGTTGACAAGAGATGGTACTTGAACGTTGATTAGAGACGGTACTTAACTGTTTACAAGAGACGATCCCTAAAGGTTGATAAGAGTCGGTACTTAACTACCTAACAAGAGATGATCCTTAAATGTTGATAAGAGGCTGTACTTGACTGTTGATAAGATGCGATAACTTACTGTTGATAAAAGGCGGTACCTTATTGCTGAAAAGAGGCGGTACCTTATTGTTGAAAAGAGGCGGTACCTTATTGCTGATAAGATACGATAACTTACTGTTGATAAAAGGCGGTACCTTATTGTTGAAAAGAGGCGGTACCTTATTGTTGAAAAGAGGCGGTACCTTATTGCTGATAAGATACGATAACTTACTGTTGATAAAAGGCGGTACCTTATTGTTGAAAAGAGGCGGTACCTAACGTATATACTGCTGGGGGGTTTTCTGGATGTGTGAGCCTTAAAAGTACTTTTCATAAAATTGTCACCGGGTAAATGATGACATGTAAATAAAAGGATTGGACCCCCACTCTCCCACATTAGTCCGGGTAATAGCCCCCCCCCCCCCCTCACCCCATAACGCCACTATAATTTCATCGACTACACGCAGCAAGCTTGACTGTCGTGGAAGAGGCATAACCCCTCCACCTCCACCCTAATCTAACTCTGCAACACCTGCTTCATGTACAGTGTTTCTTTCACATATCTCTCTCCAGGGTTTACATAAAACTTTGGAGGAGGGGGGGAGCATTTAAATGTATGGCTAAATTTAGACTTAGCATTAAAATCCTGGAATTAAAGTAACCCTCTACATCTACAACTCTGAACAGTTAGGAATCACCGGTAAGAGAGACATCGACGTCAAAATGGGAGGACGATACGCCTAGATGAACTGAATCATCGACAAATCTTATTGGTCCATTGTATTCTTTATTTCGCACTTTACGTGTTTATTAATTTAGATAAACTCCTTCCCACAAGTTTAAACACCATGGGAATGTAGCGTAGATCTATACCCTTTAAATATGTAAGTAGGGTAACAGGTTATCCGAGGCGACATTATCAACCCACCCACGTATAGCTTATTAGCAATGCTGTTCAAAAACCAGAAGGATTTAAATCGGCTTCGTTTATCAGGGTTGTAGTATATCATGTTTTTGTCTTAAAAGCTCTAATTAATTATGCTCAACTTAAATTCCCCCCCCCCCCCCCCCCAAAAAAAAACCCCAACAAATCCAGTTAGTTGAAAAAGAGAGATAACTCAAAACATTATTTTAAAATCCTTTGCTGCTTTTGTTGTCTCCCTTTATCTCTTAGAAAAACCAACCGTAAATAAACAACGCTATAGAGTACACATTTTTTTTTTTTTTTTTTTTGCTTATTAAAATTTTACTTACACATATAGATACAAGCACATTTAGACTGGTATACAATAGATTTAGTCCACCATCAATAACAATTTACAAATTGGTTAAGTGCATACAGACTTTAAAATAAAAAGTTATTTCTTGTACTGTATTAAAAAGATGAATAGAGATGAAGAAACAAATACAATATTTGCAAGACAAAACTTAGAAACATCTGAAAATAAAATACTTAAAAAAAACTTTTTAAAAAACCACGTTTTTCTTGTGGACTAAAAAGTAGAAAATAACTATTTTCATACATTTGATGACAAAAAACGTGGGTACGTTCACCATCAAATTTCCCGACCCATCTGCCCGACCCACGTTTTTTGTCATCAAATGTATGTAAATAGTTATTTTCTACTTTTTAGTCCACAAGAAAAACGTGGTTTTTTAAAAAGTTTTTTTTTAAGTATTTTAGTATTTTATTTTCTCCTTTTTAGTCCGTTGCTACACATGAAAAACGTGGTTTTTTAAAAAAGTTTTTTATATAGTTTATTTTCTACTTTATCTAATGACTTGATTAAGTATGAATTGACTAAGTGTTTATAAATACACGGACTAAAAAAATCTTGAGCGACCAGGATTCGAACCTGGGTTGTCGCGGCCACAACGCGAAGTACTAACCACTATACGATCACGGCCAGCGCGCTCACATCGATTGGGGCCGAAGTATCTGTGTCAACAAGCCTCCAGTCTTGTCGGTATCTTTAGAAATCATGTCCTCAATTTTATGGTCCTTTGGGCGTAATTAAATTAAGCTAATTACGGTCTCTAATTGCTAGTTTTTATGATTGCATCTGAAATTGTTAGGCGAAAGTAACCTGCATGCCAAATTTCAGATCTATAGAGCAATCAGAAGTGGGCTAATTTTCGATGTCAATTTTAACAACAAACACATCCACGCGAAGCTGAGTTAATAAAAACGTGTTAATGAACTCAAATATAACTTTGACTTAAGATTTTCGTGAGGAGTGAGACAGAAAAAAATATTTATTCCATTCATTGGCCATCTAAAATCACGTGGGAATAGTTCGTCACACGATTAGTTAAACAAGACTCATCATACATATTAACACATGTGTTGATCTGATGTGTGGATTTGTTTACATCGAAATGCGTTCACTGATGTTTTTTTTTTAGAGGCTAGAGGGTGGAGACATAAGGATATTCAATTGATTAATGTCAATGCTAACCCTGTCCCTACTCCCAACCCTATTCCTACCATACGCCTAACCCTAATTTCTAACTATAAAACTAGTCGAGATTAGAATACTACTAACAACCTAACACACCTATTTTCAGAAGCGTCTATAATCGGACATAGGCACCCTCCATCATCTCAAATGAATAATGGAGAAGAAGAAATATCAGGATCCTTACCTGAACATTTTGTCGTAACCACCCCCACCCTCAAAGAACATTGTGTATTAACACTACCCCCCCCCTCACACACACCACCGCAAAAAAGCCCTCCTAACGTAACCACGTTTATTTACCTTGAATAACAATCGCTCACCCCCGTGTTTTTTGTTTTTTACCATGCCATCAACACGACTGTGTCATAAGTCCTGAGCGTGTCCTTCCGTGTTACCGTCCAACCACTAGATTCACACATTCGCTGCTAGCTAGCCCACAGAACATCCACGGGACAAATTCGAAAAATCGTGGAGAGTACAGAGAAGTCATCACCATTACAGCTGTGGGTGCCGATTGTCTTCAAACTATTTACGCTAATTTATAGAGGTGTGGTCCTATACCGTCAACATATTTACAAAACAGGTACAATTATTTTATCTATTTAGGCTAATTTATAGAGGTGTGGACTAATATCGTCACAATATTTACAAAACAGGTACAATTATCATTTAATTTACGCTAATTTATAGCTGTGTGGACTAACATCGTTAACATATTTACAAAACAGGTACAATTATCATTTATCTATTTACGCTAATTTATAGAGTGGACCAATATCACCATATTTACAAAACAGATACAATTAACTGTTTAATATAATTTATAGCGGTGTGGACAAATATAGTCAACATATTTACAAAGGAAGGTACAAGTATTTAACTATTTACACTAATTTATAGAGGTGTCGAACAATATCAACATATTTACGAAACAGGTACAAGTATCATTTAATTTACGCTAATCAGAGGTGTTGACCAGCATCGTCACCATATTTACAAAGGTAGATAAAAGAAACGTCAGGCTATTTACAATGTACATAATAGGCTGACAGTTATCGTCACAATAGAACAGTGGTTCTTAAACTTTTTAAGGTCCCGAATACAAGTTTCATATGTGCATACACTGAACCCTTCGTATTATATCGTCTTATCTGACAAAATGTGATCGTCAATCATATGAGTCAGGTGTGTCTTGACCTGCGCCTAAACCATGACTGACTCGCCGAACCCCTGGGGTTCGATCGAACACAATTTAAGAACCACTGAAATAGTGGTAAAGCTCGTACTAATATTACTATCAGAGCCAACGCGAAGGTATTGTGTATATATTGTATAACTAGGAAGCAGAAGCACCTATCATTTTGTTAATGCTATGCTTGCTAAGTCCATAGTTTAAACCCCAGGGCAGATGAGGCTCGTTAAAATGTGTGTAGATGGGTTAACCTAAGCATTAATTTTGTGTTGTATGTATTAGAATAAAAACCCTAAAACATGTACCGCTGCTGGTTTTTTTTTTAAAATGCGAATTAAACAAGGAATAGCTACATATGTCTAAATAAAAAGATCGGTAATTTTAATAATCAGGGGACCTTTTAAGTTAACGAGATTTATCAAGTGCGGGCTACACGTGGCCAAACGGCTTAACTTGTACAGGACCCAAAGTTTATAAGCCCTAACACACACATTTTTGACTCGCCTCCTCACCCAATGTAACCTTGTATGCAGAGTCGTAGCGAGGAGGGGGGGGGGGGGGGGGTAGGGGGTGGACCGCACCGGGTGACACCATTAAGGGAGTGACACAAAGACAAAAAATAGCAAAATATATAGAGAAAAACTTGAGGGGGGTGCAAATCGAAAATTTGAAAGTTAGTCCCAGGGAAGGGTCGCTACGCCTCTGGGGGGGACACCATTAAGTGCCGCACCGGGTGACACCCGACCTCGCTACGCCACTGCTTGTATGGTCCTTTCAGGCAACCACGCATCTTATTTTGAACGCTTGCAGAGTTCTCTCTTCTTCTCTCCCCCCCCCCCCCCCCTCACACACACATACAGAATAGCACAAACACACGGATAGGTGTTTTTTAATATCTCAGTATTATTGCTCATGGTAAACATGTGTATAGTGCTTGCTAGTCTACGATAATGGAAACTAGAAACTAGCAACTAGATTTTTATTTTATTTTTATTTTTTGTATAACAAAGCATTTGGCCATAACTCGATGTAACACCATATTGAAATGGTAAATCACCCTGCACCCTTCGTGTTGTGTATTTGTACTTTTTGTGATTTATAGACATTGTCACATATTGTTCATTAAATAATGAACATCACAACATATTTAGTTTAAATTCCGTTTCTCTCCCTTTATTTTTATCAGATTTGCCTCCCTTTTCAGATTTTCCCCGCACTGAGCAGCAAACATGAGCTGGCCCTTGTACGAGATAGCCGTCATCACGCCATTCACGGCCAATGTCCAAGATAAGCTGACCGTTGAAGATGTATGTCAAGGTCGAATGCCCCAGGCCACGTACGCAACAAACTACTTGAACTTGCCCGGTGTCTACACAAAGAATACCCCAAACTATTTGTCTTTTTCCCGGCCGTACGAAGTGGCTGAAAGCGTGACTGGTTACTCGGTGGAGAGCGTGTCCTCGTGGACGAGAAGCACTGACACCGTGTTTACAGACTCTTCAGTCTCCGAGTTCAAATCCTGCCAGTCCCACGTCAGTTATAAAGACAATGAAGGTCCAGAACTTCGTTTTATACAAGTACCCAGACAAAATAACACGAACTGTATTCCATCGAACTGTAGCGATGCCCAAAGTTCGGGTACTGAAAGTTTACAGACGCCTGTTAATTTGGACATTGAGACCATGTTGATGAAAGTTGCCGGGGACATTTGTGCCCTGGTACAAGTCCCAGACAGTAATGACATTCCTCAACAAACTTTCGAGACTAACACCCATGACGCTGAGTTATTTAACGAAGCTGTTAGGTTCAACACAGTGGGGTATCCGCCATTAAACAACTTATCATTTGAAAAACCTGAATTGTCTGGCTTTTCGGTTTTATCGAAAAGTGGGGAGTCGTATCTGTCTGCGATGAGTGTGTGTCGGGACAGCGATGCCAGTTCTTCCGCCTTCAGTAGCTGTAGAGTGTCCAGGGCGTCGAGTCAATGCGACTTGCACGAATTGGGAAATCCCGAAGAGAATTTCGCGGACGTTGAATCGGCCGAGTACGACTCGCTGGCGCCGAAGTTGAAAGTGAAACCGAAACTACGAAACAGGAAGCCGATGGCGACCATGTTCACGCCCCCTCAGACTCGGGACGACTCCGGAGCGAGTAAGGTTAAAACAGATCTACCCCGGCTGAAACTGGTGGAGACGGACGAGCAGAGCGGGTTCGAATCCGGAAGCCGGGCGTCCAGCGGGTACTGCGATAGCCCGACGCTGTCGTCTGCTTGTTCTGAACACGAGTTCTCATACCTGAATCCGCTCTGTAAACCTTTCGTGCCGAGGTCGAACCTATCCCAGGAATACCTTTCTTCAGGTTTGTCGTCGTCTGAAAGCGTAGGTTCCCGCGAGATTTGGAACTTCACACATTTGGTACAGCCCTCGACGGAAAACCTTGCACGTCTGCCTGGGAATTCTGCAGTCTTTGATAGCGGAATTGAGCAGACTAATCTTTGGAATACGACTCATGCCAGCACGCACTCCTCATCCTTGCAACAGACATTCGACGAAGCAGCAATGCCGGAAACTGTATTTGAACCCAAAGGTAGTCATTGCGTAATTCCTGACATCGTAATACAACCGCATTCAGATTTTAAGGACACTTCAGATTTGTGCCCGTACAGATGTAAACTTGTACATAAGGGAGATTTTACGCCCATTGACCAGCTGAAGAAAGAATCGCTCCCTAAGGACTTTCAAACAACGAAACATCTAGACCAAGTAGTCACAATATCTCAACGAGTTGTAAAATTACGTCTGCGGAAATCATTTGCTTTTGAGCCTTTAGAACCGGAGTTCAGCCTGTGTAATTCATGTACTGATAGTTCAACCCACACGGAAAATTCCGGCTACGAACATTTCGGCACTGGGTTTGCATGCAACGTTAACGAACACTATATTGAAATCCGAACGCATTACAAAATGGTAGGCTCACCGGAAGAAGCGGAAAAGACTGAGGTCACTTTCTCTTTGGCTTTTCCGGATGGCGGGAAATGTGTGCAAATACTTTGCCAGGGTCAAAGGGAGGGCTTCCACAGACCCGCCCACTCGCATGTGACAGTCTTCACTTGTCTGACTCCGCGAAGCTTGCTGCCATTTTTGCACTTGTTCACCCAAGTTCCATCAAGGTGTCGCTCCAGCCTTTTCAACGACTCATGCTATTTCAGCGATTCCAGTTTAGATTCCAGCACCTCTGAGACCTCGACGCCAAGCGCACCGAAAAACGGCGCAGAAAATAACGCTACAGACTTGCACAGCAAAGATGGTGCGAAACATTCTTCCTACGCCGAGGTTGTCGGTAACGCAAGACATGAAAACAAATTCAGCTTCGCGGATTCTCGACTACCAAATTTGACTGAAATTTCTCGCGAGTTCCATGATGACACAATTCACGGCGGGATTCGAACCCCAACCACATCGTTTACTGGTGGAAGAGTAGCGTCTCCTCTGGCGATTATAGAGAGAAGGCTAAAAGACAAAGAGAAGATTGGGTGTTGTCCATACAGCGATGAGGCCACCTTTGGAACGAACGGACTCTACACGCATTTCTCCAGTTATGCAGGTGAGTAGATCACGGGCATACACAATGAATCACTGGCCCAATAGATTTGGAGCGACGGGGGGGGGGGGGGGGGGGGGGAGGAGGAAAGGGGGCAAATGGTTTAATTTTAATGGGTTTTTTTTCAAAATGTTGGCACAATCAGCTATATCATGAATCTTGATTTAACACTTACCATAATTGTTACCAGGCAAGGGAAATAACCTATTTTATTCGGTTGCTGCCCCTGTGGGTCGGCTATTTGTAAAGTAACGTTCTGCTCTTGTGAGCGATGTTTACCAGTTTTCCCAAGTTTTCCCATGTCATGTGACCCCTGGGAATCTGGGTAGTTTCTGACATTGCACGACAGCCGTACAAGGTAAAATAGCGTGGGGGGGGGGGGGGGGCGAGATTTCAATTATCAGTAGTGGAAGATAATAGAAAGTATAGGCCTAACGAAGTTAACGGCAATAAATCATTTTATTGTATGCACGTGACTATTTGTGTAGTCTTTTGGCAATAGCTATTATGTAACAACCTTTATACGCAGAATTTTTATTACTGTGAGACAATGTCTGCAATATAATTGTACATGTCATTTAGTGCTGAACTTAGTTTTATATCATTATGTCGGTCTGAATTAGCTGACGACATAAAATGGCATGGTTATTTCATATTTACTAGTACCAGTGGTGTAGCGAGGTCGGGATTCACCCGTTGCGGCACTTAATGGTGTCACCCCCCCCCCCCAGAGGCGTAGCGACCTTTCCCGGGGACAAACTTTCAAATTTTCGATTTGCACCCCCCCTCAAACTTTCAATTTGCACCCCCCCCCCCCTCAAACTTTCGATTTGCACCCCCCTCAAACTTTCGATTTGCACCCCCCTCAAACTTTCGATTTGCACCCCCCCCCCCCTCAAGCTTTCGATTTGCACCCCACCTCCCTTAAATTTTTCTCTATATATTTTGCTATTTTTTGCCTTGGTGTCACCCCCCTAAATGGTGTCACCCGGTGCGGTCCACCCCCCCCCCCCCCCCCCGCCCCGCCCCCCTCCCCCTCGCTACGCCTCTGACTTGTACCGCATTTTGCGGACTAGATTGTAATTAGATGTACCTTTACGTACCATATACTTAATTACTGTTTTGTTTTAAATTTACAGGTGATGTGCTGTCTCAGACTGAACTCTTCACAAAGCCGTTACTAAGGGTCGCTACCCCGCTCAGCAATCCCTCCCCTCTTGAGTCGTCATGGGAATACGAGGCTTTGATATACGCACAGAGCTTCCATAGAGATGCCTACAACAGATTGCACAAGCCAGCCACAAACGTCAACAGAAGTTCGTCTCTGTCGAGCTGGTCCAATTCCAACCAATGGGATGATCAACTTTTGTCAGGTGACACTGGGCTAGGTCAAACCCTTGTGAGCGATCAAGTCAATGCGCACTATTGGAATCTCCTTAATGAAAACAATTCGTTTTACTCAACAGGTGACAGCTATTTGAAAACATGGGACAAAGATCTGATTAACGTTGATGAAAATCTGTATCCACTTGCTGAATTTAATCATTTCGAAAAAATGGTGAACGACATTCTTGACGAAGGGGAAAGTCAGAAAACATGCTGTCGAAAAAGTTATACGGAAAATCAGCCACGACACAGAAGAAATAGTTTTGGGAATTCCCATTCTAATAATACACATTCGATCATAATCTCGCACCCCCATGGAGGACGGAAAGTAATTTCCTGTGGCAGTTTCTCGAGCCATTTCCACATCGGCGGAGATTTGTACGACACCCCGACCTGCATGGGGTGCTGTGGTGCTCCCGTCTTAACGTTTTCCGGCGAAGACGTGTACGTAACGCATCTGGTTCACGCTGGTACAACCAAAGTGTACGGAGTCACCAGCGGAATGGGCGTGTCGTTTTTCTACTCAAACTATTAACTAGTATTAACGTCTGTGATGATCTACCTCTACTCTTAAATGTTCATGTTCATATTTTTATAACGTATTTAAATGCATAGTTTTAAATTTTCCTATACAAGGAAATTTTTACATATTTTTAAACTTGCTCAGCGAATTTTTCTTTACATTTTAAAACACTATGTTTTAATTGTTTTTATTTTACAATTTACACTTTATTTAGTATGTATTTTTATATTGGAATAAATTTAATTAAAATTTACTTTTTCCAATTTATTGTATACACCATTCAAGGCTCTTCACTATGACTTCTAAATGTAAGTCTGTCTTTCTCGTTTGAATTTGAAATCTCGCCAGCCAGGGAGAGATAAATTTTCAAACTAAATTTTAACAGGATTCCCATTGGCTTTTAAAATACCCAGAGTACCCAAAATGCAACAATTATAAAATTGTTAGTAATAATAGAATCGCATTAAATAACAGTAGGTCTAGGCTATTAATATTGTAACTATGTTTAGGACAACATGTTACGGACTAGAATAAAAATAACTAACTGTAAAAAAAAAATCACATTTTAACGAAGGCAATATTTTCTTTAAGCTAAATATCTTGTAATCTACCATTTTGCACGGTTTACAATTTTAAATAATAGCGGAACTAACTTTACCATTTTTTATACCAATTTTTTTTAAAATATCCACATTTGGACTGAAAAATACTAGCTGGCAAGTTCGAGATCGAAGTTACAAACCATATTTGATGCTATACAAAATACAGGTAGGGAAGGATATAATTTATGACGTCCACATTGGAGGGGGTGTGGGAAGGGGGTCTGGGGTGGGTCGGACCGAGACCGAGGTAGAACTTTGTTATATCTGAACGTCATAAATTACCCCCTACCCCATCCCCATGGAGATGTCTCTACTTACTCGCTAATGTGATAAACTATCACACAGAAATATGGCATCGCGATAAAATCGGTTGTAAGTTGCATAACTCTTTATAACAGGGAGTCCTCCTGTGATATAGCCTACATGAATGACTAAACTATAAAAGGGGACATAATGCTTGATTAGCAGAGCGTCAATGAGGGCCAGACTGCGAGCTAGATACATGGTTTCTTTCAGGCATCTCTTCGGACTAAATGGGGGGAAAACGTATAGTTAGAAACAAAAATCACTTTGACCAGTGTCCACTCACTCACCCGCATCAAAAAATACCCGAAACAGTGTACGATACGCTTCTGAACAGTTTTCTCAAAGGACTATTTCATTACACCAAAGTGTGATTACATTTAACATTTGATTTGTCAAGTTTTTAAATGGTTGTACTAATGTACTAGTACTAGCCATTGGGGAATCAAGTAAAAGTCCAGCAGCGTGCGAGAGTAATTTTTTTTTTTGGTATGATACAAATGACAAATTTTAACAAAGCACAAAAAGAAGGGGGGGGGGGTGAGAACAGTTAAAAGCGCCGCGAGAAAGACTAGGCTAGAGGTTAAGTGAAATGAAATAGCCAACATGTTAGCCCATTGAAGCCAAATTAATAGATGGTAGCTCGGTTTAATCAACAGACGCCTTCAGTAGTTGTAAAAATGTTTTGTTTTACAGATTTTTACATTTTCTTGGGTCATTATTCCCCCCGCCCCTCAATAAGTGCATTTTCGTTAATTCAAGAATATCAAAATTGCAATCTAATTAGTCATTAACAATTAATGTCAAGATGTAAATATTCACTAACACAAGGGGAGATAACGAGGTACTCGCGATCACTCGATCAGGTGAGCTGATGGTTACGGCGAATGTTTACAAATAGTTTGGACAAGTTCATAAAGGGCTGATAAGGTTTTATAGAGGAATTTGTGTAAGGGCATATTATATATATATATATATATATATATATATATATATATATATATATATATATATATATATATATATATATATATATATATATATATATATATATATATATATATATATGCAAACCAGTGTGGCTCAGCTTATGTATGTCTTTGTGTTGTGCAACTAACTCCATTAAATCTAACCTGTGTAGACCAAACCTACCCTACGCTAGGTTGATCAAAAACATAAATAAATGAAGCGAAAACAGTGTACTACAATAGACTGCACCGCACGACCTTTAATCGATAGCTACACGCCTCGGAGTGACGTAAACTATCCAATCTATTTCCTAGCATGACAAATTTCGGGCTTTGTTTACAATTCTATCGTGGCTCTAAAATTAGCGAGCTGACGTTTTAGCACTGTGAAGAAAAATTTAGTTTAAAAAAAAAAAAAAAACTACACTGATCTGACTTGTACTTGATCTTGTGTAACAGATATCAAAAGGATTAGTGTTAGGCTTAAAGACTGAGTTAATTAATTAATTGGGGGTGAAAATGTGAGTAATTGGTTATGACAAACCTAGCTAAACGAGTAAGAAAATAATTGCAAAACGTAGTTGGGACTGAGGGTTTCATAGTTCTCATGTATGTATGTATATATATATATATATATATATATATATATATATATATATATATATATATATATATAATTAGGCTGACAAATGAAGTTTCACTAAAGGGTTGCTAATTTTTCTTATTATAAATCTACCTAATCGCAAAGCTGATGATTGAATCTGGAAGCCCATAGAAACGCCACACACAACTAGATGGGGTGGGGGGGGGGTGTTGCTAAGATTTTTGTGACGGTGTTTGAGAAACGGTAGGAGTGGAGACGAATCACATTTGAAAGTTGGGATTGAAACTAAGCTAAAATTGCATGACGTCATGTACGCACTACACAATCATAGCGTGTGTCGTATTGATTGATACAGGCGTAAGAACCACATCACCGCGCTTAACAATTGAATGCAAAAAATCTTGTAACATTCTTCAGGCTTTTTTTAGAATGTGAGATATAATCTACGGAAGCAGTGGCGTAGGCAGGGGGGGTTAGGGGGGGGGGGGGGTCATAACCCCCCCCCCCATAGACCGCTCGGTATATATATAAAAAGTATGAGGGGGGTGCAAATCGAAAATTTGAGGGGGGAGGGTGCAAATCGAAAGTTTGAGGGGGGGGGGTGCAAATCGAAAGTTTGAGGGGGGGAGAGGGGGTGCAAATCGAAAGTTTGTCCCCGGGTAAAAATTGGAACCCCCCCCCCCCCCCCCCCATTGAGACGATCCTGGCTACGCTACTGTACGGAAGTTTCATAGTTTCACAACTTAAAATATATTGAGCGAAATCCTTAATTATGTTGGCTATCTTTCCCTAACAAATTCAGCACACATTACATTTCACTTATTTTTTAACATAATTTTCATTAGACCACAACTATCACCAATATTATTTTATAGGCCTGGACAGTTTTAAGCATTTCTTCGATAGCCCACACCCCGAGTACATCCGCTCCCCTCCCCCACCCTGACGATATAGAAAAGAATGCTTTTGTGCCTGTTCCCCCTCCACCACCCTCCCCGAATAAAAAAAACGTCTGAAAGAAACCCAGGACCCAACATACTTTAAACCCACCCCATCACTTTCCCTACCATAGTGACCAATTCATTTGTCTACTGTGGAAACGGACTTTAAAAAAAAAAGTTTTTGCGATCACCTTAATTTTTGAGAAAGTTTCTTGTTTCTATTCATAAGCAATGTTTTTGATGTCTTACAGTTACAGTGTGTCTAAAAAAATAGGCCTGAATCATCAAACCATTCAAGCAAAAGACGTTTAGGGTAAAGAAAACCAGGCCATTGTTATTAGGCCAGCAACTACATACCCCATACCGTAGGCAGTGGCTTCGCTAGGTCGGGTGTCATCCGGTGCGGCAATTCAAGGTGTCATCCCCTCCCCCAAAGAAATTATATATATATATATATATATATATATATATATATATATATATATATATATATATATATATATATATATATATATATATATATATATATATATATATATATATATATATATATATATATATATATATATATATATATATATATATATTTATATATATATATATATATATGTGTGTGTGTGTGTGTGTGTGTATGTGTGTGTCGGCCTACATAAGCCTATAATTTAAATATATGCTACATACGCCTACTTATGTGTGCATAAGCTTTAATCACTGCAGACTTAATAGTAACGATGTTTATCTAAAGTCTGGTAATAATATAGTTGAATGTAGCATTGTTTTCTCTATAGTTAGCACGTTACGTCATGGTGGCACCCCCACCCTCTTGTAATAATTGTCAATTTGTACTTAAAAGACTATATAACTTTAATTAATCATTAATTTAAAAGGCATTTTTCTTCTGTATATTTTGCATTTCTTTTCCCTTGGTGTCACCCCCCCCCCCCCATGGTGTAACCCGTTGCGGTCCGCACCCTCCGCCCCGCCCTCGCTACGCCTCTAACTGTAGGCCTATAAAAATAGAGAAACTGCCTTCCCCTCCCACCATCTTCGTGTAGTGAAATGTGTGCACGACCCCTGTCGATGAGATATATTGTTGTCCAAATATTTTCGGGTAGACTTAATTTTTTCTTTTCTTTTGGTAGTAATATTATACTACAATTCATTCTTCTATATTTCTAATATTGGATCAAATGACGTGTTTCTAAAAATAGAAATACCGTGTCTCACAAAATCTAGGCCCAAGCTTGGCTAACTAGATCTAGATTCTAGATCTAGGTAGATATACTTCAGTGAAGAAAAACAACAATGTACCCCACCTACCTACTACGGAGCAAACACAATTTTACCCCGTAAAATGTTACTGAACTGCGTATGTAATATAAATAAAACAAATACATGTCGCCGCTGATGGGTAGGCTACGCTTCAAACTCCGTGGCGTAGCTTGGGGTAGGGAATAGGGTGGGAGGGGTTAGGGGCAGCCACTTCGGGCGCCAATGCAACGGTGGGGCCAAAAGAGATTTAAAAAAATAAAATTGATTTTGAACTGCATTACTAATGTATTAAGATTGATTTAAAAGGTTTTAATTGGATTTAATTTTAGAGGCATCCTTTAAAGTGTGGAAAAAGGGCGTCCATAAATGTAATCACACCCCAGGGGGAGGGGGGTGTTCGTAATTTTGTGACGACGTGTGATGAAAGTGGGCGGGGTCAGATTGTGTGACGTTACACAATCAACTTAAAAGAACGGTAGTTGTTGCTTTAAAATAGAAACGTTGATTAGATGGATGTAGATTGTAGATCTAGATATAGATCTAGATCTAGTGCTTTGAGTCATATTTCTCATCTCGCAGCCCTAAACCTAATTTTAAATCACATTGTTTTTATGGTCACATTTATAATCCAGTTTATTGATAAAACCAAGATTTAGGCCCCACTGCATTTTAAAGAGAAGGGTAGACGCTCATTTCAAAATATTATCAAAAAGCCAAAAAATTGAACAAAATAAAAATTCTTGTTAGTCAAGCTTTACACCGGGGAAACCCCACATCAACGTGAACATTTATTGGTCCTTGCGCATTTCCTGTATGAATTGTTAACACGTTTTCATTGGACAATACTTAGCCCGGAAGCACGTGACCTTACGTCACAAGGAATCCCTCAAATTGCGTGAGGGGAAATCGGCACCTAGAGCCTTACTTGATCCTCAACCTTAATTCCAATGTTGTATGATTCCACGAAGATTCCCTGGTGTGAAAAATGGCTGGTGTATTTGACTTAGAACTCACCGAAGAAGGTGGACGATCAGAGGAATTGTCCGATGATGAATATTTTGAGACCGATGAATCTAGTGGGCGCCAACAGGTTAGCACTATCACCACTTTAAATATTGCCCAGTGTCTGAGTTGCTTTCACGAAGCTGCTTTAAAATATTAAATACAATGACTATGAATAATGATCAATCGTTCGTATCATACGGCGTAAATGACTAATTTAATGGGCATCACCATATCCAAATCTAATTGGTGATGTGTGTACTTATACTATAGAAATAAGATGTTTGTCAAATTACTAATCTAGTTTTTGTTAATTTAATTAAAATAGGCCTAAAGAATGGAAATAAAATAAAATGGCCTAAATGCAGATTACAAAGTCTACACTCTACACTAAATAAATTTTTACCAATATTGGAGTGTAATATTCAGAAAGTATGATCTGGGTAATGGTAATGAGTCAACACTTGTACAATTGACAAATAAATTATCAAGTAAAAATCATTGATCTAGGGATTTGGCCAAAAGCAACTGCAATTTAGTACCGATATTCATAAGCCTATTTGAGTTTTGCCTTGTGAAATTTCCCAAAAAGCACTTAGGCCCTATATAAATAATACTGATATTGATTGATGTAGCCTTTATTAGGTTAATGCATTCATTAGCCTTTTTTTCATATTGTGATATTGACAAGCTGTTAATGTTAGTTCTGCCCTTAAGTTTATTAACTGTGCTGTGCACATAATTAAATATACAAGCAAAAAAATTTGACATTTGGACCCACATCAATAGAAGACTATTTTGAAGTATTCCCCGAATCTCAGGCAAAATGTTATCCCCTGCCAGATCTAAACCAACTGGTGAAATTGTTGCAATAAGTTAAAAATAAATACAAAACCAGTAGGCTAACTAAAGATACTAAAGTTGAATATGGGGCCTAATAGCTAATTGGGAAGAAATGTTTAAGACAAATAATAGCCTACAGTTTGTAACGAAAACACATTCTCAATCATTGTAGTACAACTTAGGTCTTATAAAAGTATATAGGCCTAAAGTTTAAGTTTTTCTACAAAAATGTTGTAACAGATTGTATAAGGGGGAGAACTTTTTTTTATTTATGTAAAATTAATTTCTTTCAGGAATATGGAGGTGATGGCTTGCCAAAGTGAGTTACATTTAATTTATTAGATGTAAAGTGTTTTAAACCTATTTTTCATCAATTTGTTTACTTAAAAGAAAAAAAAATACTTTTGTTTAAAGAAGTATTTGGCAGTTAACAATTTGTTCCCATTCCATTATTTTAAATAATCAGTTTGTCCTAAATTTTATCATCGATTGAGCACTTTGTATTTGGTTTCAGTGAGGAGATCATGGAGACTCTGGAGCTGTCAGCCCAGACAGTGAATCCCAGCATAGTTCGGAAGATTGGAAGAGAAAGCTTTGAAATAGTTAGTTTGCTCGGGAAAGGCGGCTATGGCAAGGTAGAAAATAGTACCTTATCTCGCAAGATCTTTTATCTTTCTGAGTTTTTTGTGCTTCAATGAATGCTTTACTTTTTAACACTGTATAGCCAGGCTTCAATAATCTAGCACATCCACTTTTTTGTGTACCAGCTGATATGACTTAAGAAAAAGTCTTAAATATATGTAGAATGATAGAGTTAATACATCTACGACTTGTGTTGCCCATATGCTTCATAAAAACCAATTTAACTTTTTTATCAGTAGCTAGTTGGTTTAGATTATGTTTGGGTTGTGCATAAGATAGTTACTTTAAATCATATCCTTGTTTGATGCATTTGTGAAGGTGTTGTTGGCCGAGATGCTGGATGAGAATAGGAAAAAGTATGACCCCCCACGACTTTATGCTATGAAAGTCTTGAAAAAGGTAAACTAAATCATGTGTATTCTGTCACTTATAATCAGAAATACTATTTATGTTGTATAGCTAATTAATTGTTGAAAATTGTTCATTTAAAATAAGTTGTGACCTTGTTAAGTAAGAAAAATTTTTCACCTTGATGTATTCAGGCCAGTATAGCAAGAAACCAGAAAGACACCGCCCACACACGTGCTGAACGTAACATCCTTGAGGCAGTAAAGGTATTTTACAATTATTTTGTTTAGTTTCTTTACACAATTTGATTTTAATGTTTTCATCTTCATTAAGGTATTTTTTAATAAATTGTTACTATACTTAAACTGTCTTGTTCTTATCTGTGTAGTGTAAGGATAATTTTTTTGATACGTGTCAGTCCTTGTTCATTTCTCCTTATAGTATTTTTTTTTTGCTTTGTAATTTTTGTGTGTCCATAAAGTTCAATTATTAGAAATATTCTTTCACTTTTTTCAGCATCCATTCATTGTAGATCTGCACTATGCTTTCCAAACAGACGGAAAACTGTACTTGATATTAGAATATCTTCCAGGGGGGGAACTGTTTACCCATTTAGAAAGAGAGGGTATTTTCATGGAGGACATGGCCAGGTATAATATCAATTCAGTTTTATAGTTCTAAGCTGTTTATTAACTTGAAGTTTTTATCTCTGGTATTGTTACAACATAGTTAGGATATTAATTTATGTTCCCTTTATTGATAAATTCTGAAATATTTTGAAACATTTTGTTTTTAATAAATTTTTATACCTAAAGCTGTAGTTGTGTAAATATTGTTTTACTTACGACTAAATTGATAATTGTTTTTTTTTTGTTAAGTTTCTACCTAGGTGAAATTCTGTTGGCTATTGAACATCTACACACACTTGGTGTTATATATAGAGATCTGAAACCAGAGAATGTCTTGCTTGATTCTAAAGGTTGGTCTTTTTTTTTATTTTCAAAACTAAGACACAGAATTTAAAAGATCAGTTTAGTTGTATGTTCATTTTAAAAAAAAACCATGTTAAAACTATTATGGTAGCTAATTTTAATCTATATTGTCATAGTTTCTGAAGGTTGATTAGATTTATCTGATATTATTTAAATTGCATTTGTCCATACACATTTAAAAAAATATATATAGTGTTTTTTTTCTAAATCATTTTGCTTAGTATATTGTAGTTGAAATTATAGTTAAAACATTGTAATTTAATGCATTTATTGCTTAAAACAATTATTGTGAAGAAAGCTATCAATTGGTCAATTCTGTGTTCTGTGTAAAATTGTCTGCATAACATTTTTTTTATTGTTGCAGGCCATATTAAGTTAACAGATTTTGGGCTATGTAAAGAAAGTATTTCTCTTGGTGATATAACACACACATTCTGTGGAACTATTGAATACATGTAAGTGTTATGTCGCTGTCTTTCCTGTAGCTTAAATTTAGCTTCCCCCCCCCCCCCCAACTATTTTCATCTGTACATTGTTTAATTTTTATTTTAAGGGCTCCTGAAATAGTTCAAAGGTCAGGTCATGGAAAGGCAGTTGATTGGTGGAGTTTAGGTGCTTTAATGTATGATATGCTTACTGGGCAGGTGAGTTAGAGATGGAACATTTTTTTTTAAGTCTTTCAAGATTTAAATAGTGGAAGTTTTAAATATGATATTTATAATATTCTGTGGGTATATTTAGAAAATACCATTTTTTAATAATGTTTTACGTTTTATTCCTAGCTTTTATGCTTTTATTTTTTAACCCAATACTTTTATTTTCTGATTTATTAAACTGCACAGTATTCATTTTTTTTCTCTTAGCCTCCATTTTCTGGTGAAAATAGAAAGAAAACTATTGATAAGGTAAGGATTATGTTAAAGTTGGTATGTTTTAAAGGTTAACAATAATTATTTTTTTAGTTTGAAATAACACAAGCTCGAAATAATTTAACAGTATTGTTTATACTGGATTTATCACTCCACTTGTAATGTAGCCTGTGCTCATTTCAGTTTCATTTGTACATTTTGTTTCCTTAAATTAGAAAGCCAAATAGAAATAATCCTTATTTTTCTACAGATTTTAAGAGCAAAGCTTAGTCTTCCACCTTACCTAACTAATGAAGCTCGTGGCCTTTTGAAGAAGGTATTCTGTTTATCTTTTGTCTGTTTTCAATGTTAACCTTCAGTTTAGTAACCTGGAACTTGTTGTTGTTGGTTTTTTTGGCTGTTGTCATCATTAATCTTGAATGTCAGTTTGATTACATGCAACTTCTCTGTTTATTATTGTAGTTCTCAAGTATCAGTTTGATTACATGCAACTTCTCTGTTTATTCTTATAGTTGCTGAAGAAGAATCCATCTGAGCGCTTAGGCAGTGGACCTGATGATGCTGGACCCATTAAGGTAAGGATATGGTAGAGTCTATATGTTCTTGGGATAGCCTAGCTATCTGTTAGGGTTGAATGCTGGACCCATTAAGGTAAGAATATGGTAGAGTCTATATGTTCTTGGGATAGCCTGGCTATCTGTTAGGGTTGAATGTTCAAGAAATGTTATGGTTGTAGCCAAAGAGTTTTCCAGTCTTTGTATTGGCCAGTTATGTTTTTTGTTTCACCTGGCATTTAAATGATGTCTTTGTTAAATTGCTGTAATTTTTTTTTTTTAATAAGTAGCCTAAAACATATATAGTTGTAGTATTTTGTCTGGATTTCATACATTTTAGTGTGGAATTTAGCTTCCCTCTGGGAATGCTTTAAGACAAATTTTAAAAACACAATGATGAAGAGAATGAAAATTTGAAATAGTTTGTGATAAAATACAAGTTGTATTATTTTTGTTGTGTGCCTGCTAATTTCAACATTTTTGTTTTCCTTCAGAGCCATGCCTTCTTCAGACATACTAATTGGAATGATCTACTTCATAAAAGAATAGAACCACCAATTAAAATAGGAGTGGTAAGCTTTGATCTTGAATTTTACTTCGCATTGCTGTGCAAAATCTTTTCTGATAAGTTTCTAATTAGTTAAATTAGTGTTCAGTGGCCTGATTAAAGTATTAAGTCCGTGTGTTTCCATCTTTATCTCAGTGTTAAGAAATAGTGAAATCTTTTGTACTGTCTTGATTTATTACAATTTTTTTTTTAGTTTATGCAACCTTGGATTAAATTATAAGCACTTTAAGTTATTTATAAATACTTTAACCACAGACAAGTGCATACGATGTTAGCCTTTTTGACACCAAGTTCACCAAGCAGACTCCCTGTGATTCTCCTGTAGACATGTCAGTCTTCAGTCCCAGCATCAATATCTTTGAGGTGAGTGGGATAGGAAATCAAGTGCATGACATTGGTGACTGACCAGATACACACAAAATCCAGAAATCGAAAGAATTTTTTTATTCAGATTTCTGGCGGAGCATACTTTGACACACTAGGATGTGTCAAAGTAAATTAATACATAATTAGGTTACTTAGGTTGTGAATCTTAAAAATTCACTCCTTCATTTAATCTTGAATATTAGTTATATAAAGGACTTAGCCATCATTTTCTGTTAAATATTACAATTTATATTGTTGGTTTTGTTTGCAATAAATATTTATATATTGGTCATCAAGGAAATAAGTACCATATTTCATAAATCATATTTTTTTAAGTAGATTTTCCCTGCATGTGTTGTTAATTATTTCCATAACTTGAACAAGGAATATCATTTATCTTCTTCCACAGGGATTTACATATGTAGCGCCATCTGTCCTAGCTGACTTGGCCACACAGCCTTGGATCTCTGAAAGAGGACCAAGGTCTCCACGCAAAAGTTATAAAGGGGAAAGGTATTCAAATAAATATTTATCCTTTTACAAATAAGATGATAAGCTTTGTTACAATGACAATGATTAAACACTTCTGGGTATGCGTGTCTCCAAAGGTAACAGGATATATATTACTTCTATATATGCCATCGATATTTGCTTATCAAGCCCCTTTACAATAGATCTTTCTATCTATTATTACTGTGTGGTACTCAATTATAAGAGGTATTTTATCTTTTAACTTCAGCTACATGTTAAACAATGGCCTAGAAGGATTTTATCAAGCTAACGCTGCAGCTGCCCACGACATCGCAGCCCAGAGAAACCGAGGACCTCAGCAGTGCCACGCACCCACCACAGTAGTTGCTTCATCCCGCCCACTCAACGGATATGACATGGAAGAAATGGACACGAGCGGAGCGGCCGGTGGAGCCCCGCCCGCCACATCGGCGATCCCAACACACCATCACAGGTCTAACGCTACTACTTCTGCTATTTTACCCATCGCCAACCCCCAAAGACAACAGCAAAGGCGCCGAGCCTACCCGGGTACACATAACCGCCCCTCACACCTTCAACGGCTTGTATGATAACGTAGCTTTAGGAAATCAAATTTTTTTTTCAGTTTTAGTCATTTTCTTTTTGTAACTCATTTATTTTAAAAACTAGTAAACAGATTTATTGCTTGGAATATTTTTGTTTTACCAAGCTAAACCGGTGTCTGAGTTATGCAATTCTACAACACTCAGACCTTCTGTGGAATAGATACCATTGTGCATTAATTATCATCTGGTTTTTTTTATACACTGGTTATGTCTGATTTGCCGAGTCAGCTCATAGATTAGAAACTTGGGACTGGGTGTCTTATTGCCTAACACTTCTTGCCACGACACATTTCTCAACACATTGGATGGCGTGTTTTTTTTTTTCTCCTCTTGATAGCATTTGAATGGCAGCGCGTTAGGGTTAGCTAGGTTTTGTGATACTCTAAGTTAACATTCCACAAACATCGGGTGTGATTATTTGTATGTACAGAGGTCAGTAATCATTAGCTGCCCTGGATAAAGAATAAACAGTTTAGTTATAAGACATAAATTTGATTCTATGCTATAAGGGCTAGTTAAAGTGTTATTGGGTTACCCTTGTAATTGGGAGAGGGGGTAAATTCAATGGTTAAGAGAGGGGTAAGAATTATTTTGAAAAATTTTTTAATCAAAAGTTGAGTTTGGTTTTGAGCATGACATCAGTTTTCTTCTCAGCCTGATTGGGCTAAATAAAATGATCATAGACAAAATTGTATAATAGCCTATGGCTGTAATTTAACTGAGCTATAAATATGGAGCTCTTACACTGTTGTGTACCCAGCCTCTCACTGGTGGCATTGGTAACACGTCTCAACCGGTGGTTCTGCTTACCTTCATCTCAACCGGTGGTTATGTAGGCAAACATAAAATCTTTGTTTCAAAAGCTCATCTATTTAAGAACTTAAAACAATGAACTAATGGCACATTACAGTATAGTAGTGAACTAGCTTTCTTCTGTCTGGTTAGGTGGAAGCTTATCTCTAATACTCTGATACTGGCATTTGATTGTGTGCATAAGATGTGTTGTAGTGTGGGCTTGTGTTGATGGCATGTCTGTGTTGATATCAATCGTTCAAGCATGTTGATAAAGAATTTTTTAATCAGAAGAAAAAAATTTTGGTTGGAATATATTTTTCTCCTTGATTTAAAAAACTAGATTTTTATCGTCATTGCACATTGCTTTAATTACTGTCCTCATAATATTATGCTGTGAGCATAATAATTATATTATAATTTACAATAAATACATTTATATTTTAACATACCTAAATTATTTGTATCAAGTATGAAATCAATTACGGTTGCCTTTTTCTCCAAATAATTGATGATTCATGTTTTCCTTAATCTTTTTTGTACTATTCATGGCCAAATCAACACAAGTAATTACCTGTTGTTTCATTTACATATCTGATTAACATTAAAAACTTAAGTTTAATAGATTACTGTCGTTAAAGAAATATCTTCCAAGTTAAACTTCTGCTCCTGCACTTAACAAGAATATAATTCCATTTATTTATAATTTTTATTTGTGCTTACTTAATAAATTACACTCAGCTCTTATGCTTGTAAATACATTCTTTAAAAAATCCCCCTGTACCCCCCACCCCCCAAATTTCTTTCATAACAGACGTTCCTGTACCATTAGCTAATGTGATGGAACAATTGTAATATACATTCTCTTGGTAATGAAGTGTTTTCATCTATTTATAACTCCACCTTCTAGCCAGTATTTAGGTGTAGCTGTGTGTGTAGTTGGGAGGCTGTGTGCCCACAGAGCTAGCTAACACACCAGTCTTGTGTGCTGCATGAGTTTTTGTTTTGTTCACTAGTGTACATGTTTTCTAGCAAGTTTTTTTTTTTTTTAAATTATTATTTTATGGTAAACTTAACCCTAACTCAAACCATCCTCAACTGTTTTTTTGTTTTATTAGTTGTAAACAGATATATTTTAAAAATACTTAACTTTTTTATGATGGGTTATTCTTAGGCTTAACTAAAATATTTTATTACATAATATACATGTAAAAGTTGAGGGTTTTTACAATATAAATGGGGCAATTTTTTTTAAGTTGGGGGTAAAAAAATTCTTTTTCACTTTTGAAAACACATAGCACTACAGCAGATAGTGTGAAAGTTATTTGTAGTCTGCATGTGTTGGATTGAGGATTAGCTATGCTTAATTATACTGAGGGTTTTGATTGGTTGTATCCACAAGCTTTAACCAATCATTTTCTTACACATGTATAGGTCTACTTGCCTGCTTTAAAATAAATTCAGTATAGTAGGCCTAAATAGCTTGGCGCTCACACTCTAATCATTCTTTATCTAATCAAGCACTTACCAGCCCCCCATCTCTCTAATTGCTTATTATATAAAATGTGATTTTTATTACAACCTGTGATTTGGCCTAAACTTTCTTGTAGCATTTCTCACTGGGGTATGGTCTCATCCCAGTTTTTTAATTTCTGTTAGATCTCACTCAGATTTATATTTTTAATAGGCAACCAAGAAAAATGGCTTTAACATTGAGTTGTGTGTATTTTGTTTATGTCGAAGTTTCTGCATGGTGCAGAAGCAAGCAATCAAATTATTTCTCTTGCAATAGGATGTCTGATTTTTCAAACAACAATCAATTTTTGAAACAACTTTTTTAGGCTTGCTTCAAGCATTGCAGTAAACAGATTTAAAAAAATATTTTTACAGTAAATTGTGTACTGATGTTTCTGTATATTGCATATTTATTGCATACATTTTATTTTTAAACCTTGTAAATAATTTGATTAGCATAAAGGCTTGAGCCAAATGGCAGGATACATTTGGCGTAACCAGTCGATGATATTAAACTATTTAAAAGTGCTGAAAATTTTACAGTTTAAAACTGTTTATCACAGATAAACAACAAAATAGAATTGTATTTGTTTCATATTAAAGGATTTTTTTTTATGTCAATTGATATCAGCATTTAAATAATTTTATTTTAAAGATTTTTTTTAACTGCAAAAAGCCAGATGAAATGTTCCTGGCTTATTCCAGATTTTTTAGCACAGGTTTTTTAAAATTTTAAACATAATGTTCATGTCTGAAACAAGGAGGCTTCTTATCTAAAACATAAGGGACTTATAATAACACCAGAGCTGCATACTTTCTATGTCTATTGGAGCACAGTACTAACATTAAAAACCAATAACCTATTTATACATTACACACTTAATGTATGTTACTCAACTACTGACCAATGAATTCTGGGAATTCACATATCTCAGGGTTATTTGTGTATATCAACTGCTAAAGCTATCGTCTGCACTGTACAAGTTTTCCTTAGAATAAGCTTCTGAAATTGACATAAAAAGAACCATGTTTTTTTAATTAGTTTTTAAAGTAATAGAAATTTTAGGTTGAACTTTAAAGATATTACATCCAGTTTTCAAATGTGTAGAGAATTTTTTTTTAAACTGTACATAACTGAAACATTTATTTTACCATATTTTAGTTTAATTTACGTTTTGTGTATTACCCATAATGCTGTGTTTGTCTTCCAAAAGATTTTGTTTGTCCAATCGGAATGATTTTTCTTTGTACTGTAATGTGATTTTATTTTTCTTCTTGTGGGGATTATCAAGAAATCAGCTGAAACAGACTTTTTCATATTTTTCTTGGACAAGAAATATTTCTTACTGCTTGTAACTCAGTGATCCACCATACCATCGGCTGTTACATGACCCTGCCTATGGTTACTTACTAGTGAAGTGTTTTTAATAAACTGCATTGGTGTCTTTCATACCAAAATGCGAGGGGGCAAATAACTGTCATAGGTCTGTTGATTTACATATCTTTCACTGTTGTGTAAATGTGTTGTTCTAATTGGAGGGAGGGGAGTCGATAGATTTTGTGAAGAAGTTCTGTTTAAATCCAGCTGGAATGCTACTGGCTGTATGTGTGGGTTGTGTGTATGTTATTTTAACAGTTGTTGTTTAGGATGGGTATTTAATGTCTGTAGTAATTTTCTTTAACATCAGAGTTGAACATTTTTTTAAATCACCTTGTGTTTAAATGCTTGAAGAAAATACTGTCGTTAAAGACACAGCAATATTGAGAGTCCTTTGAAGAATTTACTGTTTCAAGTGAAGATTTTACTATTTCTAGATATTTTTTACTACTTAAGTTGAAGTAAATGGATTGAAAATATTGTTTATACTATTTTACCAAGGCCTTACAACTAGCTAGTGTGAAGAAGCAACAATATTCATTGGCAGTACCTCCTGTGACAAAAGACACTGAATTAAATTGACTCAATTTTACCTAATTGTGAATAGTCTATTTCTCTAGCTAAACAGATGGTGTAATGGTGTTTTGGTTGCATGAACACAAGACATATGATAAAACTCAAAAGAAAATGTGTTTCGTATATACTGTACATTGTCATTACTATAATTTTTTTTTTAAAAACTGTATGAAGTGAAATATGTAACAATAATTTAATGACAGTGTATCTGTTTTGAAAAAATATTTTTGATGATTTATTTTTATAACTACATCTTTCTATCTATTACTGTAATGTAAATGTAAAAAATATTATTTATTTTGTTTCATTCCTTTTGCTCTTTTTCCCTTTGTTTTTTTTTTTTACCCCCTGATGATTGTAAACTTATTTCAGTTTCTTGAGTCACTCAATGACTGCAGCATAGGTTTAGCTTCCATACATCCTTGATATTTATTTTTTTGATGACCAGTAAATTTTGTTTAGCTTTTTGAGACAGGGTATTTTGAGTTTAGTATATATATAAATATATAAAAATATATAAACAGTTAAAAATAAGTTACATTATTGCGCATATGCATTACCTAACAGTTCTCTTACTTCAAATAATAAAACTTCCCATGAATACTTATCCTTATTGCTATTTTAATGTGCTGATTAAAAAATGGGCTTTTGATAACTTTTTAACGCTCTACACATTTGGTTACATTTGGAATAATCAGCTGATGAATGGATGCTTTCTCCTAACAATTTTTTTTCAGAAATTTGAGTTATGAAAAAAAAGGCATTTCATCACCTTATAAGCAATAGCTTTTGTTTGTTTTAAAAGTACTAAAGAAAATAGATTACATCATATAATTACATACTTTGTGGATTATTATTAAAGAAAATATTTGTGTTAAGGAAAGCATAAAAAGATCAGAACATTTCTTTTTAATAAAATAAAACTGAATAAAAACTATGGAAATCCTAACTCCAATGTTTGATTGTTTTGTGTATTTATTTCTTTTTCTTTTCGTGTTTGTATGCAAGCATGCCTTGTGTGATTTCAAACCTAAACTCAAACAAGACTACACTAATTCCCTCTTAGGTGAAACAAGAAACTGAAATATTATTACCTTCAAACTTCTTTTCTAATTTAATGATTTTTTTTTTCCTTATCTATCTTTCAGTTGAATTTGCAATTTTTTTTGTATCACTAATTATTCTAAAACATATCGTGAAGAAAACTCAGTCAACGTAGTGGTGGATTGATGTGAACAATGTTTTTAGACATCTGAAAAGTGAATCTAGGCAAAATTGCCATTTACTTAAGCCTATTAAAATCTGTATTTGGTAGTCACTATTGTACCATGTCATAAAAAAACACTGTAAAATTACCATTATTTTCCATGGAATACTTTTTTCCCCACAGCATATTTAAAGCAATATTTTTATAGCATCTATCTGAAATGCACCAGTCATATATGAATACATATATATATAAATATATATTATAACATCTATTATACATGCACACATACAAATCCCACATACTTTTCCGTATCTAATACTTCCAACCCCATTGATAAAAGCATTGCTTATTCTCTCTCCAAGCACTGTAATCTAATGCACTGTTGTCACATAATTGTCATGGATGATTAATTAAATGTGTGCAGAAACTATGATAATTTGATAACCAGTTGAAAAATCTCGGAAAATACAATTACTTCATGTGTTGAATTATTACAATAACTCAATTAGTTCAATAAATTAAATGGCCACAATAACCACTAAGTTGGTTTAATTAATTTATCATTGTCAAGCTCAAATAATTAATTACTTTTTATATCTAGCTAAAATGATGCTTTACTCAACTTAAAAACATTGGTTTCATAAGTGCTAATAAGATAATGAAATGTATTTAGTTGATTTTTTAAAGCTTAAAAATACAACTAGTTGTGTCAATTAGATTTTTTAATTAGTTGATAGCAGATATATCAGGGGAACTGCATCATCGTCTACATGATAAGTATAACATTGTGTGCATATTTATATTTGTTAAACTAAGCTACCTTTTCTGTATACTCTTAATAACTTTTATAAAGTTATTTTTAACTGGTGAAGGTGGTTAATTAAATACGCTAGCTGTAAATTATATTCATATTCTTTCTTAAAAATAGAACCTTGTTACATTAATTTAACGAATAATGTATTAATAGATTGACTAGGATCCATTTTTAGGGCCTGTTTGTTTATTCTGAAATGTTAAAAAATATGCCGGTTAAATTTAACTTTCATAATTAGACTAGAATTTAATTTGGAAATTATTTAACCCACTTTTTAATACATTTTTATCTAAATTTATAAAATTTACTTCGCTAACCTCAAATAAGCTATGACTATTAACATTAGCTTATAGTTATGCATTATTTGTAGCAATTAATACTTTGTTCACAATCACTTAAATCTAAAATCTTTTTTTATACTATGCCAAATGCAAAAAAAAAAAAAATGTAGTATTGTTTATAATGCTAAAGCAATTACTACTTTTTGTAATGTGCCTAAAATATAGTACTTTTAATAAATATAAAATAATGAAAGCTTACCACATGGTTATGGGATTATATTTTTCCAATGGTTTTTCTTTGATAGAAATAGCATCTATCTGGCCCATGTTTCGTGCACTGTTAGCTGCTAGTCAGTGGTAGTGAGATATTTCTGAATAAGTAGAATTTTCCTTGCTTTTTTTAGCCTCAATTTTTTTCAAGCTATCAACTGAAAAAATTTCTTTTAATAATTTATTAAAGTAGTTATACAAGACAGACTTTTTAAATTTCAAATGTTTTAATTAAGTGAATCAAAATTAATTAATATTTCAAGAATAATTTTATTAAGAAGATATAATTTAAGTTACTTAGTATCTTAATTGCATATTCTTGCTTTTGCAATAACAGCTTATTATATATATTTAATATTTTTCTATTTCAGAAGATAAACATCAACCACTCGCTATCTACCAGAGGAATTAAAGTCTTTTCAAATAAATGTTCAATATTCCATATTTATGCTGAATGTGTGTATTGAGAGAGGAAGGGTAACTCCTGCATCAATTTATTATAGAAGTTTGCATTTTTTTTTTGTCTTAATTTTTTTTTTTTTTTTTTCATTTGAGAATTTTTACATGTTAAAAATAATGTCTCATACATGTTAATTTTTTAACCTCATAAAAATAGCAATACTTTTTGTTAACAAAACATTTTTAAAAATTTAATGCATAATTATTGTAATAAAATGTATAACAGATTAAATTATTAAAATAATGCTTCTAAAATTTACTTTACTACTTTTATTCAAATCAAAATGGTTCAGGTCACATCACAAGTATGTCTGTCTTTCTAAATTTAAAGTCAGAAAATGGAACCAAGAAAAAACCAAATATGCTTTAACTCCAGGGCAAGGAGTTTTATTTTAACCATACAATGTTTGTAATTAACTTATAAAACTAATTGTTTGCTAATAAACTATTCTCTTTGTTGAATCTAGCTTTATTAATTTAAAATTAAAATAAGGAAAGTATAATTGCAATTTGACAAGAGTCGACAAATTTTCTAATAGATCAAATGTTCGATAAAGTTTATTATAATTATATACAGTTTTTTAAAACTTTATTTTGGTTGTTTTTACCAAGTTTTCTTCCTTCAGCTAGAGATTTAAAAAAAACTTTTGTTGTTCATGTTTATATATTGACTTCAGGCTTTAAATATCTGTAATTCTGTACAATTTTATCAAGACAGTTTACTTGACGTTGATAGGCTAAGTAAATTTAAAATTCTGTAATTAATAGTGATTGGTGTAAAAGCACTTTGTCTTTATGATTAAATTTGAACTTGATTGTAACATTAATCTGCCTTGAAATGAAACTTACTTGATATCTTTTGATGGTGATATTGGTGAAATATTTTTCTCCATGATGTCAATACTGCTTTTTATTTTTATTTGAATTTTAGAAATGCTTTATCTCACAGTAAGTAACATAATTTCCTAACAAATCCAGGCTGTTTCTTCAAACACACTTTCTGATTTTAGTTCTCATAAATTAATTCAAAATTAACAAAAACAAACTGCATTTGTATACAAAAAATCTCAACATACATTCTTATTTAAATGTTACTCTACTTAAATAAAATACAAATTTAAAATTATTATGGCAATTATATTTGTTTCAGAGTGAGCAAAATTTGTTTTTATTTTTTGGGGTAGTTTATTCTTTCAATAGGGTAATGACTTTTGAATATCATGAATAAAGCAATTGTGTATTCATCCTTTTCCAAGTATTTTTAGTTCATTTTTTCCTCTTAATCACTGAGTATGTAATAAATTTCTTTTATATTACAATCACTAGCAACTATGATTGCCTCTAGAATCTATATGTGATTAAGATTAATCGTTTCACAATTTCAAATTAAGGTGAATTATTTAACAATTTAAAAAAAAAATGATACTAGCTGATCAAAATAGTTGATTATGTGCACAGTGAAAAAAGGTTGAAATATATTTCCAACAACCAACCTAGTCATGATTACTAAATAGTCATATTTCTGTGATCCTAAATGCAACATTTTTTGTTTCGGTAATGACGGTAGGCCTACCTGTTTTGTAATAACCCATACATTCTTAAAATATATGTTTCATTTTAAAATGCTATAATTTGTCATTCAATATTCATTTATGGATTTTCTAAATGTACAATAGTTTAGTATATAAACTGCATTGTCTATTTCAATCGAAACTATGCAGTTTTGATAAATACTTATTTTCCTTTCTAGTAAAATTATTTCTTATTTAAATGTTATTATATTTTTTATTTTTATTCCTTTTTTTAAATTTCATATTTTTCATTATTATTAAGATTGTAGAAATTTGTTTTAGAAACATCCTGTTATTGTTTTGTGAAAGAACATTTAATTCTAAATATCCATCAAACTCTGGATTAGCTATGACTGAATCAAGTATCAAATTATCAATGCCTCTAACCAATTGAATCGTAGTGATCATTTTTATGACAGCCCATGAAGGAAATATTAGACCGTTTTAAAAGAGTGGAATCTAATTTTTACTGACAAAAGTATGTAACAGTTAAAAATTAGTGATTTACTTTAAGATTATTACATTTTGCTTAAATGTATGCTATGTAAGATGACAGTGAAAAAAATATTTTAACTTTAAAATTATTATGTTTTGCTTAAATGGACGCTATATGTGTGTTGACATAATGATGATGATAGTGGTTAACTTTAAGATTATTACATTTTGCTCACATGCACGATCTATGTGTGTTGACATAATGATAAAATATTATTTAGTGATTAATTTTAAGATTATTACATTTTGCTTACAAGCATGCTATATATGATGACTGAAGAATGCAAAGTATTTGTTAATAATTTTTTTGTATGCTCCACTATAATATTTTTACTGCGTCTAATTTGAGGTATTATGCTTTACTAGAAAAATTCTGAATCAGTTTTTCATTCCCTAGGTTTACTTGAACATATGTAGGAGGGAAATTAAATATTGGTCATCTACGACAAGTAGTCAATTATTTACTCCATCTATGGATAATTACTGCATAAACATATCAGCATTTCCGGGGACATACAAGTTTGTGATGTTTCAAGGTGTATGGGTCTTCAAAGATTTCTCCTTTATAAACAATCAACGCTGATTTTTGTTTTTAAATGAATATCACACCCAATTCTTGTTTTTGGTATGACATAATACTTTAAAAGCAAGATTTGTACAATTCATATTGGTTCTTTGTTTTAAAGTATGCTGATTTCATAATGAGATGTCTTTGTCAAGTGGAATAAATATGATCAGTTCCTGTTCGAGTTGTTTTGTTAAAAGAAAAATAACTAGTAAGTTGTAGTTTATAATTGTCTTCTTTATTATCCTATAAATGAATTACCCTATCAATGAATGAACAATATTATGTAAGCTGCAAATCAACAAGATATACACAAATGTTGAGAATTTTGAAAACATCTGGAGAAACAAAACATTCTAAAAACTTATTTCTACAGGTGATTATACATTTTCTAACATTGAATATGTGAATTTATTAACATTGCTGATTTTTTTTATATAAAATAATGTGAAAGATAAGTTACATACATATATATATTTATTTATATATACACATGACATATGCACTTAAGTGCATACTTTTAATTAACTTTATGATTTCGTATTACTTGGAGATTTAAACAAAAAACTTTGGACTGGATCTGTTATACAGTTGTAACTTTTTCTCTGGCTTAGCAGGGGAGCAACTTTTTTTTCCATGTTATTCCAAAAGGAACAAAATAACACATTCCTAAAGTTTAAAATAATGTGAACAAATACCTAACAGTGTTACGTTGGTTCAGCAAAAAAAAATCTTTTAATGTTCTATATTAAAACAACATTGTTCAATTACAATGTACCATTTGTACAGTAACCAAGGAAGTCCATTAGAAATGTACAGTATGTTGGCAGGTCAACCGCACCCCAAAACTAGGGGAGAAACTAATTTTTAATTTGTCGAGTACATATCTCTAGTCTGTCAATTGGGCAGACTACTGGTCAGATTATCAAACATCAATAACTTAATTAGCAAATTCTGTTGATAGATTGAAGTTATTACATGCTTGTTAGGTGAAGCCACACAACCTTTGGTGCACACAAAAGTATCAATCATGTTCACCAAACATTTTAAATAATGTACTTGAAAATACATTGTTGTGGATGTGGCAGTATAATATAATAAAATAAACCATATTTATAATTAGCAAGGCTTAATTATCTAATGATTAAGACCAATCTTACAGTGGGTTAGCCAAGAGTGGAAACAATATCAGCATGCCCTTGATCACACTTAGCAAAGATTCAAAATTTATAGTTTCTCTCAAATTACAGGGAGTCACAAAATAAGGGTAAGTGAATAAAGGTCCGATTTCAGACTTAACAATACCTAAGGCAGATGAACATGTACAGTTCATGTTTCTTGACCTCGATATGAAGGGATGGTGTGGTCAGCACTAAGTCCAGCTGCCTCTACTTTTCCTAACATGAGTCAGATACCTTTCCAAGCAAGGTAAACTCAGGGACATCCTGCCGTCTGTCTAGACTTAGATCTGAACGAGACTTTGGGGCTAGGAGTCGAGCACTCGACTACGTCGTCCCATCAGTCACCAGTTACTGAACCACATCAGGTTTATCTTCCACAACGGGATGAGTTTTCCAGTTCTCCAGATTCAGCTTATAACACTCTAAGCTACAAACAGGAATGTTGGTCTTGGAACAGATGGATGTCCTGAGATTGGTGCAGCCATTGACCCCACATAGTTTTGGTTCTGGGTACGGACTGAGGAGGAATAGTTTTTAAATTTAAAATAACCATAAAATTATTTTTTAAAAAGCATAAGTTACAAGTTCTGGATATGGCCTGCTGATTTTTAAAAATTAAAAATAAATGCATTGTGAGAAAAAAAAAGGCAATTTTAAACTGTGGATATACCCTGTCGAATATTCAAAACAACTTCAATCAATTAGAAAAAACAATGTAAAGTAGATTTTAAGCTCCGGAAAAGAGCTACTAAAAACTATCAACAGTAAAATATAGAAAGAATAATAAAAATTTATAATTATAATAAAATTTTATTAGAAAAAAAATGTAAAGTAGATTTTAGGTTCATGGTAAGAGCTACTAAAAAACTATCAACAGTAAAATACAGAAAGAATAAAAATTGATTTTATAAAAAATTTTATTAGAAAAAAAAATTGTAAAGAAGTAGATTTTTAGGCCCTGGATTCGAGCTACTAAAAACTATCAGCAGTAAAATATATTTGCTGTTGCTGTCAAGGCTTAAAGATAATTCACATATACATTTCTTTTGAACAATGTTTATTTAAAAAATCTCTAAAGTTGTCTGGGGAGGGGAAGGGGGGGGGGGGGGGAGGGAAGAGGGGGAGAGGAGGAGAATATAAAAAGAATAAAAATTGACAATTATAATTAGTTTTATATAGAACATGTATACTGTAACAATAGACCCCTGATGGAATTGTGGAAAGATCCTAATCTTAAGTTTTGTTGTCCTACTTTTATCAGTGGCTCTGAGATAGCTTACAGATTTATCACAAAACTTTTGATTACCCAAATGAATTCAGGACTGTACTCTAGAATCACACTAACCCTAACTCGTCAGGCATACAGAATTTTGAAAATACTTACGGTGCTTGTTGTGGAGTTAAAGGAAACGGGACATCAGGGGGTAGGTGAATGTAGATTCCATCTAATCTGTTTCTGTATACAATGCGTGGTGCTGTACTTCGTTTACCTCCACGAGGCTGACATAGACAGAAATACATTTTTTTCAGCAAACAATTTTCCAAAATTGAAAAAGAGAGGGAAAAGTCTAAAGAAAATATCTCTGTATGTGAGATTTAAAAGCTAAGGTTTGATTTAAATTATGTCCCCTACCTTTCCAGCTCTTTTGTTCTTGCTGTCTTGTTTTTTAAGTAGTTTATGGACAGTCTGATTCTGTTAAAACAACAAAGATTGCTACATAAATAAAATGTCCATAAAATATGTGATATGTATATTATAAATGAAATTATGTACATATTTATTTTTGTAATATATTTAAGTACAGCCCTAATAAAGTTTCAATTTATAATATTAAGAAATGTCAACAAAATGTTTAAAATAATTAAGATTTTACTTTGTCATTTTCCATTTTTTCATTTGCCTGCTGCCGTCTCCTTTTGGCTTTCTCCTGGCGTTTTTTCTTCTGCTCGTCTGTGAGCTCAACTGTTTTGTAGCCTGCCAACAACAGATTTAAAACATAGATTATCAGATGAAACTGATACACTCAAATGTATGACAGAGAGAACCGAAGTTTTATAGTGAAAACCATCAATTCTTTTTAGCAAAATCCACAGAAAACAAGAAAATGGTTCTATACCACTTATAGATACAAATAAAAAATAACACTTTTAAATATGTGAAACAGCACTTCAGTGCAGAGTTTCATTGAAATGTTATGGAGCCTTATAAAATTTTAGAGATAAGAAATTTCTGTAAAGATTTTTGACAACCAGTTTTAAATTTAAAAAGTGTTACTTAATGAACTGTGCAAAGAGTGAATGCTGAATTTTAAAAAATAGGAGAAATTTTCTATTTTAATAATTGGTGTAGCAATGATGTAACAATACTTCAGAAGTTATTTATCTAAGATAAATTACCAGATGGCAGCTGTAATAATTCATCCTGTTGACTTCCATGTAGCAAAGCTTTCTGCAGAGTTTACATAAATATTTTCACTTACATATTAAAGCAATAGTATTACAATTCAAACTTCATAATTTACTTATATTATAATAAGTAATTTCTAATAGACTGAAAGTGTCATATATTTATTACATGATAAATAGAAACTAGAAAGCAAGTAGACAATTTAGTGATCTGAAGGTCAATAGAGCAGATGATGGATTATTTATTTCTGTAATGACTGTGTATACTAGCCTGCGTGACATACCAATGCCCACCCATTTTAACCATGTTAAATCCAAAATACTTAAAATCTCAGCAAGAGCAGTGTTAGTAACAATTATTCCTTTGTTGTGGCCCCTTCAACACAAGACCATTTAACAGAAAACCTAAAAAGTCCCCTCCCACCCAAAATCTTATCAAGATTACAACAGAAAGTCAAAGAGGGGGTGATCTCCCCTAGACTTTCACATTAATTCCTATACACCATTAAGGAATGGGATGACACTTCCAGTAAAATCAGACTATGGAAATAGTAAGTTTGGGACAAAGAAGAGAGGCCAGGAAACATATGGACTCTACTTCATCTACCCTGAGGACCATCAGGTCAGAAACATAACTTTACAAAAACAAATGGGATCTAGTAGTTAAATATGTAATTTGATCCAACTAACTGAAACAGTACTCAAGTTATCGTGTTAACATACAAGTTGACAGATTACAAAGGTGAATTTTTCCAACTCAGGAAAGCTTAAAACATCAAGAAACAGATGAGATCTACTTCAGTTGCCCCATCGATCGTCAGATTAAAAAAGGCTCATCACTTTTAGCTTTTATGATCATCAAATAGAAAGTTTAATAAAGTCCACAACACCCCCCTCTAACTGATATCTCAACAAAAAACAATAGATTTTATTTCTTGCCTGTCTGGCTGTAAGTAGCGAGGGATCCTTCTTGGCAAGCTCACTGTAACTGTCCAGGTTTCCTTTCTCCAGGGCATCCAGCCACTTTTCTTCATCCGATATATCATCATCAGAGTTGTTCACATTTTTCTTGGAGGATTTGACTGAAACAAGAAGTTTATTTGTCCATGAACCTTATGCCAGTGTTTGATCTAAAGTTTAGTACAGAAAGAAAGAGCACCCTGACAAAATATTGTACTTACCTTCCTTGGTACCTTCATTAGTCTCATTTGATTTGACGATAGACATGACACTGAAAAAAAAAGTTAATTTAAGCTTTAATACATCTCAATTTAAACCAATAATGGGGATTACTTTTCAAGTACTGATTGGTAATTGTAAAACACAACTTTAATAAATAGTTTGAATAGTATTTTAAAACTGTGGGTTCAAGATGCTTCACAATTAAATTTAAGAACTTGTGTCTGTTTGTAAACAACATGATGAGGTATTTATAAACCCCTTGAAGTGAAACTATGCAATGTTTAAATATAAGGGGTTATGCACATATTACATAGCACAAAAATATCTCATGCTATATAGCTTCATTTTAAAAAGCCTTAATTGTTCTAACAGAATGAATTTGCAAACAATTTTTTTTTCATAATTTTTAAGTTTAAGCAATAGTTTTGTATATTTGTACATAAGAACCAAAAGGCTTTTCTTTAACTCTAAGCCATTTTTATGTTCAGCAAGACACCATGAAGAGCTTAAATGAAGCAATGTGTTCCACAAGGAAAAACAAGAATAATGATGATAAAACTAGACCCCTATAATAAAATAGTAAAGACCACTCTCCTAACCACCACCACCCATTCCCCTAGTATGAAATATTCATGATTTCTAATGTAAGAATTACTAGAAAACATTATTTACATACTTCTTTGTGCCCTTTATTTAGTTTGTTTGTTTTTTTATCAGTCTTGAGTTTACATTTCATTTTAGTTTTGGGTGCATTATGTGCATAATTTCAAATGTAGGAATAACTAGTAAGAATTACTAGAAAGTGTTGTTTACATACTTCTTTGTGCCTATTGTTTTTTTTGCCAACCTTGAGTTTGTTTCATTTTAGTTTTGGGTGCACTATGTGCATAATTTCTGGTGTAAGAATTACTAGAAAACATTATTTACAATACTTCTTCATACCCTTTGTTTTGTCAACCTTGAGTTTATGATTCATTTTAGTTTCTGGTGCATTATGTGCATGAATTCTGGTGTAAGTGTTGTTAGTAAGTGTTGTTTACATACTTCTTTGTACCCATAGTTTCTTTCCCAATCTTGAGTTTAAGTTTGATGGATGTTTTGGGTGACATCAAGGTGCTGTTGCTTTCATGACTGCTGGCCTCAATGTCCTTCTTGTGTTTGTGTTTTTTCTTATGTTTTTTGTGCTTCTTGGCAGGAGGGGCTGAAAAAATTGTTACAAAAAGGTTAAATTCGTAGCTATTTATTTTGTGTTTAAAATTTGCATATTGTATAGATGATAATGATTAAGGAGGAAAATTAGTTTTTTTTTGTTTTTTTTAATTTAAATGATCCATATTCAACAGTATATTTAATAGCAATTTAAATTTCTTAGGTTAGAAAAATTGCTTTTTAAATAAAAATCAACTTCAGATATTACTTAATGCAACTATTTTTGGGGATTCGCTATATTAATAGTCTTTACACAAAAGTAACAAACATGATTGGACAGCTGTATGATAATGAAACGATTAGATTCTGAAAATGGTCAAGAGACCAATAATAGTTGGATAACAGTCACACAGTGATGTTTTATTTTAAAAAAAACCAAGATAATTCCTTACGTATTGGGCTGCTGTCATCAACATCAACATCCATGTCTATGAGAGGTTTTTACCACTTCTACCACTGTGTAGGCATGGGTCTGGTCAAGCTCATGAAGATTCTGTCTGCAAGAATTAAGTGAAGACATGTATGACTGGAAATTTCATGAAATCAATGTTGTTTTAGACCTGGGCATAAAGAATCTAGTAGAAGTAAAATAATTCTAGTTCTAGATCTTATACTTAGGGTTAGATCTATATCTAAATTTTTTAATAGGAATTTCTACTTTTAGATAAGATTCTATAAATATAATTCTCTACGCGGGGACCATACAAGACACCACCAAGTAAGGGCTTAGCCATTCCTACCCCGCTCTCTAGGCTTATCGCCACCACTCACACCCCACCCGTCTGGTGAGCTGTGGTTCACTCCGAATATTTACAATGTGCAGCTATTAGGGGCAGATAATTTGGCTTTTAAGCCATTTGAAACCAAGTTCTCCTTGATCTTTAAATTGTCATCTGTAAAAAAAATTATCTTTTTGTATCTGCGCAATGGGATCAAATTACCCTTTTAGCCTTAATATTCAGACAAAGCTATCTGTACTGTGTGGTCGAACAGTAGTGCTTCGGGTGGGTCGTCATACTATAGTATAAGTGTAGCATATCTAGTAAAGAGATTTAGTCTACAAGTTAAGTATATAAAAAAAAATTTAAATCTATTTTAATAGCCTATTTAAATCTATTTGATTATTTATAGTTTTAATACCTGTCCCTTCAAGAAAAACCAGGTAATTGTAGCGCTATGCGCATCTTAGAAATCTGCCTAAAAATTAAGTTTGTTTTTAATTATTTTATCTTGAACCCTCAGGTAGATGAGGCTCGTTAGCTGGGGACGGCCACTCTTCTAGGAGAGATAACTCCAAAATCAAACAACTGCTGCCTTGTAGTTTGCTTTTGGTTAGCATTGACTCATTGACATTAGCCAACAATGTGTGTATCTAGTTAACTACCAGTAACCTAACACCCCTTTTTTAAAGAAGATTCTATTATCGGACACTGGTATAGAAATTCCCCCCTCTCCCCCCAGATTCTTTAAAATTTTCAACACATGACTCTTGATTGACTAGTCTTGACTCTTACTTATTTAATATTTATTAGTTAGCTTTGGCTTAGCCTAGGCTTAGGGCTTTAGTCTTACTAAAACTCTTGCTCTTCTTAATACTAAAACTCTTGCTCTTCTTACGTCTTACATTAGCATCATAATTTCAACTAAGCTAGCTGGTAGATTTCTAAGCCTTAGTTATTATTAGTAATACTAATAGTTAGTACTTGGACTTGGTAACTTAGTAGGCCCTAATATTATTAGAAAATATTACTTTACTACTTAAATCTATACTTGTGTAGATAGATCTAGATCTAGTACTCTTGTCTTGTATGTCTGTTTCTTACTCTTATCTTTATTTTTGGCAAACGGCCTAAACTAAACTCTACTAAACACTAAAGACCAGAAAGACTAATAAAATAAAATAATAAAGTAGGCCTAGACTCTAGACTGCCCTAGGCCTAGACAGTACACAGTACACACACTGTACACTGTACACTAGTGTAAGTGTACACTGTACGTAGATCTACCTAGATCTAGTACCTACAGTCTACAGTGACCTACACACAGACAGGAAACTTTGAAAGTGGAGTTCTCAGCAGAGAAAATGCTGTTTATGTCTATTAATAAACCGGGAGTGATCTCCCCTAAACTTTCTCGAATATTCTAATATAACAATACGTGGGATGTCAACTCGGAATATAGACATGATTTTTGTTTACTTAAACTTTTAAAAATAGAATAAAATCTAGTTGAAAAAAAAATTGCGCACCAAGCGAGCACCAAAACCAAATGTGCGTAATAGTGCGCAATATTATTAGTACTTTATAAATTTACATGCGTTTTTTGAGAAATCGGAAATAGCGTAAATTAGTACTTCCGGTCAACGGAAATTACTCAAAATTTGATAGAAGGTAGAGAATTAGATCTTTTACTTACATGTGAAATTTCATTTATCTATCTGAATTAGATCTAGATCTAGTATTCAAGTTATAGGCTTTTGAAAAATTCAAAGTAGAAAACGTACCACTTCCGGTTATCGGAAATCGCTCAAAAGTTGATACGGATCTACGATTTTGATATATAATACTTATATATGAAATTTCATCAACCTAGCTGTAACGGTACTCAAGTAATCGTGTTTACACACAGACAGACACACAGACACACACACACACAGACATACGGACAAGATTGCAAAATTATGTTTTTCCGTATCAGTGAGGTGTAAAACGTCGAGATTTGTAAAAATCTCGATTTTTTTTTTTGCACGATTACAATACTTTCTCTATGACTATAGCCTACTACGTATTACGTATATATGAGAAAGTAAAAAAGTGTAGATCTAGATCTATATATTAGAAATCTACGTGCTTTGTAACTCCCCTTTTACTAAATTTAGATTCAACATTAAATTCATAATGACATACCCAACTGAAAACTGATCAATTCAACTTCTAAACTCGGCTTTGAATGGACTCAAATAGTAGAATACCGTAGGCCTAGCCGCAACATCGTTTACACACAAGGGAAATTAATCTTATATTCTATTAAATATTTTGTGAATGATCTCACTTGATTCTATCTGTATGGCTAAGTACTAAGTAAAAAGACTATTCTAAAGACTAGGCACATTTATTTTCTCAATGTGAAAGAAAGAAAAATATAGATCTATAGTTCTATGCTATAATCAATTAATGTTGAGTCTGAATACTATTTTTTAGGTACCAGATTTTAATTTACTTAGTGTCTATTTCTGTCAGTTTATATGTAAAAGGAAAAAGTATAAATGTGGTAAGCAAGGACGAAGGCTTCGGCTACGGCCGTATGCAGGATTTTCTACGTCCAGTCGTCTTTACTTGTGGGGTACCCATCAGAATTGGCTAGTCTAAGCGACTTTCTACAGTTTCAAGACCTGGGGGGTTTCAGATTGTTTCTCCGGGGTAGGGAGTGAAACGTCAAAAATGGGCGCAATTAAATTTCCAGGGGGATATGCTGTCACTAATCAAAGTGCCCCCCCCTCCGTCGGAGAGAAGCTGCTCGAGACTGGGATCCCAATTCGCGCTTTTCTGGTTCGGCAGTTGTGCGCTATATAGTATATAGGCCTCCCAACCACATATCCCTCAACCTAATAAAGTATGAAAGTATAAATTAAAAAATATTATTAATTAAGTTGCAGCTACCTATCAAAATATGATATCACAGGCTTCACGATCTGTAACGTTTCAGGTTTAATGTATTTTTAAAATCAGTTTCAGAAAGTGCTTGCTACTCTAGTAAAAATAATATGAATATTCTAAATATTTGGCTAAATGCAACTAGATCTAATTAAAATCATGCGAATGTATGGTCTCAAATACTATTTAAAAATAACTCTATTTCTATCTAGATCTAGATCTAATATTTTCTATGATATTTTCAATTTAGGAAAAGTTATCCGTGACATTTTATATCGGTATTCCCAGAAATTTGCTTTCAATTGAATACGGTGTACAAGACGATAGACATTAACTTTGACCTTTGCTCTCGTTCGTTATATTATGTAACTATCAACATTTTCCTTAACTTCCTCGTGACTTGTTTTGTTTATTGTACAACATTCTGTAAATACTTAAGTGTTACGCAGACGTGTTAAAAGATCTAGATCTAGACTAGACTCTAGATCTACTTATTACTCTACGAATTTGTGTAATCAAACATTTAAAAAAATTTTTAAAATGGACGAACAGTTAGATCATAAAACACAAGAAATATGGCGAGAAATCAATGAAACAAATCACGGATACCTGATCGTCCTTATTTCTGCCATTATTTTCTATGTTTTATCGTTGGTTTCGCATTCAAATGCACCAGTTGCTTCCAACTCTAAATGGAAATGGAAAAATATATCTGTGTCATTTATTCATTCTATTATCACCAGCATATGGGCTGTCAATTGGTAAGATTTTCACTTTAGTTGTGTCAGACATTTTTCTGTACTAACTTACTAAAATCTAGATTAGATCTAGATAGATTTCTATCTTCTAGATCTCTAGGCCTAACTCTAAAGTTTAATTTAAGTAGTAGATCTAAGTAGTTTAAAGCTAAAGCCACTTTGTGATTTAATAAGGCGGCCACTCTCTCTCTGAAGGCTCTTCTAAAGGCGGACATTTTAATTTAGAATATTAGGATGATATTATTTATTTAGAATCGACCCTTTGAATCCCGGACAGATCCCCCCCCCCCAGCGTGGCCTACACCCCCCCCCCCCCCCCGGTGTAGCCTCAACCAACCAGTGGGTTTGTTGCATTGAGTTAAGCTGAAAACATTCTGAGACATTTGTGGCAGATTTTTCATAATCCTTCAGTGTTGTAATACTTTTAAGAGTTATCTTCCCTAAACATTCTCGGTTCTTATTTGACAGTAAAGGAGTTGGAACTTTCGTTCCAAGCTGGCTATAGAAATGATTTTATGAGTTTTTTTAATACTTCACATTTTACAATAAAATAGAATCGATGAGTAAAAGAATTGCGTACCAAATGAACGTAAACATTTTTTTTGCATAAAATTAGAACTTTAGAAATAAATTTCAATTGATGTTTTAAAAATTTAATTAAACATCTAATAAGGTCACATTTTATGTCACAGTGCGTTGTCATCAAGTCTTGACCTACATGAAAAGTTCAAAACAAATCAATCCGGTAGATGTGATATTTTTGAGAAATCGGAAATACTGTAAAGTACTACTTCCGATCACCGAAAATCGCTCATAATATGACAAAATCAAGAGAATAACATTTTATAGCTATTGATAAAATCTCATTATGATTATCTAACTAAAACCGTACGTATGATATCTATATTTTAGAAACCAGAAATAAAGTACCCCATCCGGATATTGGAGGTCACTCAGGATTTGAGAGCAATCCAAGTGTAAGATTTTACACTTACGTATGAAATTTTGTCTTCCTAATTGATAAAGTATTCAAGATATCGAGTTCCCAGGAAATAGAGCAATGTACCACTTTCGTTACCGGAAATCTTATAAAAGTTGAAACGCACCTCGCATACAATCTTATACAGTGGTACCTCAAGATGTGAGTTTAAATCGTTCAGTAACATTACTCATACTCATATGTCAAATTCGAATTAATTAAAATGACATTAATCCATTCCAGCCTCCAAAATGCTACCCCAGTTGGTTTTGTTACTTGTTTTTTTTAATAAGAAAAGTGTATTTATACAAAAAAAATATTGTTTAATAATATTGTTTAATAATAAAGGATAACTCATAGAAATAAACTGGTTTTATAAAGTGTATTTACTTAGAAAATCAGACGACTTGAGCTTACGGAAGATGCAGGGTGAAGGAGATAGGCTTCAGTTCGTTCACTTACTGTTAATGCCTAGCTCTTTTGGTAACTTCAATTACGAGAAAGTAGAAATGATAGCTATAAATTTCAATTCATTCTGTTTTGAGTCAAAGACAGAGTGAATAATGCAGATGGTTTGTGTTTAGATTTTCATACTAATGTATAGAACGTATTTCTGCTCAAAATATATACCCAACACTACAGCCATGTCAGGCTTTGACATTACCAACAAAAAAGATGCAGTGACACAGAGGGAGACATGACGCCCAAGTTATATAGCGCCATATACACATACAAATGATAATGAGCACATAAGCAGGGGTAAAAAGTTTCACCTCATTTACTGCTCAAGTCGACTCCACAAAAACCTTAAAAAACAGCAGCATCTCATTTGAGTTTTTACATCATTCACTTCTAACTTTCACTCCTTCACAAGCCTCTTCCAACATTTCCATATGTACATCAAAAGATAAACCAAAAAAAAAGCAAAATTACAAAAGATGCAGCATATAAAGTTTCATTACTTTAGAATACATATTATATATACCTATCACTAACCCTATACTTCTTCATATCCAGCTCCATTTCCCTATTCTTATCCCCATCCCTAAACTTTTCGCTACCTCAAATTGACCGAGTTGGGGGGTGTTAATATCCGAGTACAGTTTGTGGGGGTAATTGATGGGGAAAAACTTTTGGAGGTGGGTAATTGACAGAACACTACACCCACACAACACAATGCTCACAAATGTAAAGTAAATTAAGTTACCTTTCGGACCAGAAGGTGAAGAAGAGTTCACCTGTTTCAGTGAGCTCAGGATTTGATGGGATAGTGTAGACAGCACAATGCCCAGCTCCCTTTACTTTCCCTGACTCATTAGAGATATGCTACGACTCTAGCTAAAGAACCAAACTCAAGACTTTAGTGTCAACAGATATATTCCCTACCATTCAACAGTATTGTACCATAAAATACTCACATACAATACAATATGCTACATGACTATTTGATGCAGTTATAAATCTTTTAATATGGATAAATAGAAAACACATTTTAAAATTCTGCCCACCTCCACCACCATCTGTCTCGCACCCTGTGACAGTCTCATTAACCCCCCCTCCTCCCCCCCCCCCCCCCCCCCAACCAAGACTGCAGGACCATCTATCTCACGTCCTGATAGACCATCGAGAAAGAAATCCCACTTTAAAACACATGAGCCCCACCTATTACAACTTCATCAAATTTTCAAATACATGATTCTCTATGGTACAATACTATACTCTACAAAACAATACACTATATTCTAATTGTATCAGTTGTTTTGGTTTCTGATTGTACTGTGAAGTAGCTTTAGGTCTAAAAATAGCTGGTAAAAATCAAAGAGAATTAAAGTATTTTGAATTACTTTTAGAGAGCAGAATACAAAATTATATTTAAATATATGACCTCAAACTGCATTTTAATAATATCTGTATGATGTATGTATTTTGTTTATGTTGTTTTGTTGAAGTCACTGCTCATTTTTATATTCAATGACAAAAGCACACCATTCATTCCTTCTTGGTGCTTTTATTTATTCTATTCTTTTATGGTGCTTTTATTTATTTTATTCCTTCATGGTGCTTTTATTTATTCTCGGTAACCAATGATCCATCACCCTGAAGTAGTAGGGCGTAGTGTCATTTAACAACCAGACATAGCTGACCATTAACCATAGCCATAATTGTACACATTTTGTTTACAGCTTCCTTGAGCGTCCAGATATGGCAGAAGATCTTATCACCACGTACACGTTTTCATCACATTCTCTCGTTTCTTTTTCTGTGGGTAAGTGAAACCTTGTTTAACATCACAACAGTAGGGGAGATTTTATCATGGGGGGTCTAGATTGTACATATCACTTCCCTAATATTTATTTTCCCTAACAAGAGTTAGATACCCATCAGAGCTGGGTGGACTCAGGGACGTTCTGACTTAAACCTGGTTTCGAACTCGAGGCTTTAAGGTGATGATCAGCCTAGCGCTGTACAGCTTGGGCCACGCTGTCCCATAAATTTATCCACCAAGGCTTCACTGCAAAATATTTTGTGGCCACATATCCCAGCATTATTATTCAATTATTTAATGTCATCAAGTGCTTAATATAGAAATGTTACGGAAAACAAAAGTTTAAAGCCTTGTTGTAAACATTTTTTAAAAAGCAGAATTAGAACAGTCTGGTTATATATATATATATATATATATATATATATATATATATATATATATATATATATATATATATCATTTGATTAAAATCCTATAACTGTTTTTATGACATTCAGAGATTTGAAATTGTAAACGTAATGTGACACAGGTGCATTATTACTCTTAGCATTGATATTGTGCAACTACGTTTATTTTTGTCAGGGGCTGGGTGTAAACCAAACCACTTAACACCTCTTAACACACCCCCCCCCCCCCCCTTTGTCTAAGCTACTTACTGCTGCTTACTGATAAGTCCTTTTTTCTGTAGTGTTTGTATACTATTCTGTATACGTATACACCCTATTAAGCAACACCAATCTTCCTTTTGTGTGTATCTGATCAACTGTAGATCCTTATGGTGCATCATTTATTCAACCCATTTATAGAAACTAGAAAGACCAGTAAATTTCTATAACTATAAAAAAAAAAAAGCTTGCCATATTTCACTATTTGCTCATCTTTGAACTTACATTTAATTCTTAACTCAAACTTTCTGGTCAAAATGGTACCATTTACATGTGCAATTATTTAGAAACTAAAAAAAAAACCCAGTGATTGTTAAAGATATCGATGTTTAAGTTAGAAAATTGACAAAAATGATGTGAATTAAATGCGTTGCTATCAAAACAGGTGAACTCGACTTCCTAGGCTTATTTTATTGGCTTGTAAAAGTGGGGATTATTGGATAAATACATGATACCCACCATGTATCTTTATTGATTAAACAGGTTTCATTAACATAAATTTTCAATCCTATGACAGGTTATTTTCTGTATGATCTCGTTGACCTCATTACATACAAGAGGACCAGACAGTCACTTGAGTTCATAGGTCACCATGTGGTGGTAAGTGAATGCTTGTGTAGTTACAGGTCACATGATCACATGCTTGTGTAGGTCACATGATCACATGCTTGTGTAGTTACAGGTCACATGGTCACATGCTTGTATAGGTCACATGATCACATGCTTGTATAGTTATGGGTCACATGATCACATGCTTGTGTAGTTACAGGTCACATGATCACATGCTTGTGTAATTACAGGTCACATGATCACATGCTTGTGTAGTTACAGGTCACATGATCACATGCTTGTGTAGGTCACATGATCACATGCTTGTGTAGTTACAGGTCACATGATCACATGCTTGTTTAGGTCACATGATCACATGCTTGTGTATTTATAGGTTACATGGTCACATGCTTGTGTAGCTGTAGGTCACATGATCACATGCTTGTGTAGTTACAGGTCACATGCTTGTGTAGTTGCAGGTCACATGCTTGTGTAGTTACAGGTCACATGATCACATGCTTGTGTAGTTATAGGTCACATGATCATATGCTTGTGTAGTTATAGGTTACATGATCACATGCTTGTGTAGTTACAGGTCACATGATCACATGCTTGTATAGTTATGGGTCACATGATCACATGCTTGTGTAGGTCACATGGTCACATGCTTGTGTAGGTCACATGGTCACATGCTTGTGTAGTTACAGGTCACATGATCACATGCTTGTGTAGTTATAGGTCACATGATCACATGCTTGTGTAGTTATAGGTCACATGATCACATGCTTGTGTATTTATAGGTCACGGGATCACATGCTTGTGTAGTTATAGGTCACTTGCTTGTGTAGTTATAGGTCACATGATCACATGCTTGTGTAGTTATAGGTCACATGATCACATGCTTATGTATTTATAGGTCACGGGATCACATGCTTGTGTAGTTATAGGTCACTTGCTTGTGTAGTTATAGGTCACATGATCACATGCTTGTGTAGTTATGTCACATGCTTGTGTAGTTATAAGTCACATGATCACATGCTTGTGTAGTTATAGGACACATGGTCACATGCTTGTGTAGTTATAGGTCACATGATCACATGCTTGTGTAGTTATAGGTCACATGATCACATGCTTGTGTAGTTACAGTTAGTTGGGTTATATAGATCACTTGTTAGTTGGGTTATATAGATCACTTGTTAGTTGGGTTATATAGATCACTTGTTAGTTGGGTTATATAGATCACTTGTTAGTTGGGTTATATAGATCACTTGTTAGTTGGGTTATATAGATCACTTGTCAAATAGCTATTTAAAAAAGTCTTCCAACAACTGTTTTCAGAATAGTCATGCAACTAGTTTTCTTTTGCTATCACTTTTAAACTTTACTTAATATTTTCATGTTCATTTAGTAAGTATTACTAATAATTATAATGAAATTTAGGAAATTAACATCTTTTTGGAAATAGGCTTCTCGATGTTAAATATAGTTTCATCAAAAAAATTTCAGGTTTTACTAATTTGTTTTAATAAAGTTTCTGGTATTTTTTAGCCGAGTTCAAGTCCCTAGTTTAGTCACCACTATATCAATTAAACAGAAAATATAATAAGCTATTAAACACATATAAAGCAAATAAATGAAAAAAAGAAAAAAAAAGTTTATGTAAATAGTATAAAGAGAAAAAAATTGAACTTGAAACCACAACTTAAATTGCAATCTACCATTGCTTACTTCCCTTGTTATATACAAGGAAATGTAATGTTTATCTTCCAACACAGATAATAACTTGCTTTATGGTTGCTGTCTGGACCCGTCACTATGTTGGCTATGCAGTGGTTGCTCTCTTGGTAGAAATCAACAGCATATTCCTGCACTCCAGGCAGTTGCTACAAATCTGTGGTGTTAGCAAGTTCAATCCATGGTATCGTCTCAATAGCCTTATTAATTTAGGTAAGAATTTTATTTAATTGGGTTTTTTTTTTTCAGCTTCTGTCTATGCGGCAGTTTGATTAGAAAATAATTTTTAAAAACTCACAGAAACACCTTCAATACTACATACAGTTTCAGCTGATAATTGCATGTCCTATATTTGGGTATAATCATGAACCAGTATTTTACTGAAATTGTTCTATTTTTTCTCAGATTAAATAAATCCTGATTTATATATTTTTTCCAATTATGTAACATGACAGCTAGGTATAATCAGCTCTTAATGCTGTGCCCTCATTACTAAATTGCATCAACATGCAGCTCTTATGTTTTGAAAACTATTTTTTTTTAATGTTATTCTTAACCCTACCAGATTTGCCCTGGTCCTAATTGTACCCTATACTTGAGCTTATGAACAATAAAGAGAAGAAAAAAAAACTTGAGATTTGCCCATTTTTTAGTTTGTTAGGCATGTTTTTTTATTTACTAGGCAGTGTAATGAAAATTATGTATAATGTTTTAAAGGCAGATTCAGAAAACCATAAAAAATTTAGGTACAGCAATCTGGTAGGGTTAAATTATTCATGCTTTTTATTTTCATTTATAAAATGATAATTTGCGTAATTAAGTTAGTTACACTGTTATTTTAAAAGCATGAAATCTTTTTGCTATCATTATTTGTTGATTATTTTAAATATAAAGTTGTTTTTATTGAAGAAAGAAAAACTATTGTTTATTATTTTGTTTTCATTATTTATTGATTATTTTATCTATAAATTTGTTGTTATTGAAGAGATAGAAAAAAATATCTGTGAATCATTTGTTTTCCTAGCTTCTTTTATCATTTTGTTTTCCTTATTTATTGATTATTTGAACTATAAAGTCGTAGTTATTGAATAGAAAAAACTCATCTGTTTATCATTTGTTTCCCCAGCTTCTTTTATCATTTTTCGCATCCTGCTCCTTGCTTGGATGACCAGATGGATTGTGATAAACAAGGACGCCGTGCCCCTGGTCTTTTACTCTCTAGGCAGCGTTGGGCTGGCTGTGATGATAGCTATGAACATTATTTTATTTTATCGCCTTCTACAGTCAGATTTCATTTCGTTAAAAGATACAGACAAAGCAAGCAAAAAGGTATCGGACTGATTGTATAGTTTGTGTATTTGTGTAGGGTTGTATCTGTATACATATATAAATATTTCATTAGGCTAAGTGATATTAACTGTATTGCTTTTATGAGCCTTTGTTATGAAATCTATTGACCATGAACTTACCATAAAAATAAAGATTTCTTTTTTAATTCAAAAATTATTGTGTAAATTTATATGACTTGTAGGATAACACTTGTGTTTTTAATTTTTCATTGCATTCTTTTACAAAATAAAATATATTTTGACCAACTTATAAATTTGGCTTAAAAATGACTTTTCCATATCTTCATAAATGTCACATCACGCAGAATAATGCAACATAGTTTCTGGGCTGTTTAAAATTGCTTTCAGTTAAAATAATAAATATTTATATTCTCTCAACAGTACATTCTATCTGTATGTCAATGTATAGGTATTAAAATATACAAGTAAATAAAGCTAATAATATTATTTAAAAGCAAGTAGGGAATTTAAAAATTGTACCATTTACTTAACAGCATAATTGTCCTCAGTTTTTTATAAAATTTCTAACAAGCACTTAAATACTAATTAAGTCTAATTAAAATTTCATTTAATTTTTTTTCTTCATATTTTACGCTGAATCAATTAATCAGTTTTTTTTAAAAGTAGCAAAATGTAATCCAGAATTTATGGATTCATTGTCCGGTTTAATTACAATGAGTGTACATCAAAAGAGTTGATTCTTAAATTATTTTTTCCTATATTATGAAATAAACTTATTTTTTATGTTAATAAGGGTTATGCCCCTTTTTTATTTCTAATTTTTTAAATTCCTTAAATACATTGAACATTCCTTTTATGGTTATATTTATCTTTAAAATTTTACACACACTTATAAGCTATAAAAAACAGAAGGTAAAAAGTCGCTAGCTTTTTCCATAATTCAATTATTAAAAAATATTAATTTTCCTTTTTAAAATGTCAATACATCTGCTCTATGAATACTATGATGTAATTTATTTACACTGTTATTTAAAAATATTCAAGATAACTAACAGAAAAAGATTTTCACTAAACTTACAATCTTAGTATAAATTAAAAATATAAGCAGGATAGCACTATGCAATCAAATTTGAAAAAAAAATTTACTCCTATAATTCCTTGGTTGTTTTTTTTTCTACTTCTTTTGCAAGCAAATTATTTATATCGGGTTTTTTTTTTCAAAATTTCATGAAATAAGAATAAATTTAGAAATTTACCTTTTTTTTTTTTTGCAATATCGTCGGGAACAAATCCCATCTCCTTTTTGCTCAAATGTTTGAATCCAACTATTTACCATATGAAGTGACTGATAATTAATCAGTTACTATCTGAACTCTTTGATTGTGTATGATGAGCAAGTCTTATCAAGACCACAACTGTATTGCATTGTTTTCTTTTCAGATTTTTGTTAAACAAGAAAATGTTTAATATTTCTTTCACTTTGGCTTGAATTTTTTTGTATTAATTCTTTTTAACCTTATTGTGAATCTATCCTTTATTTAATTATTTAAAACGATTCTCATTTCAACAGTTTTTCTTTTGTTTGTATTTTTTATTTGATATATTTTTTCCATTTTTAAAATATTTTAATTCAGAAAGTTTAATTTTTTTTTATTTTACCAACATTATCCAGTGGGTTGTTCATGATTGTATGTCGAGTATATAGAGAAATAAATAAATAATATACATCAAATACAAACTTGAATTTTTTAGGCAATTTTACTTCTTATGCCTTATGATTTATGCCTGTTGAAAACCGGTAAATAAAATTATTTTTTTCACTAACAGAATTAAATTTTTTATGATGTAAATAATGTAATTTTGACTTGTCATTTTTTGGTCTAAAATATAAAGTAATCATCTACTTTCTGAGTCTTGTTTTTTTTTTTTGTATAATTAAATTGTAAAATATTTTTCAACAATCTATATACATGTATACACTCTACATAAACAAATACCAGATAGCATAGATGTATACACTAACTGTTTGCTCACCTATAAAACTAAGTGTACTTCTGTTTGATATCAGCAGCATAATTTGTTCCTTATGGTGTATCCAACTTTTAAAATTGTGCTTGGAGCCTACCTAGCCACTGTCCAGCTTTTGATAGTTTTATTTAAACTATGTGACATTTTTTTTTTAATATAGCTATATAAAAAAGTTAATAGTAAAAATGTTTAGTGTGTATGTATATTTTTGGAACATTTTGCATACTTTTTTTTGTTTTTTTTTAGCCAAATATAAATATTCTATAATTAATATATTCATTGAAAAAAGTATAAATAGAGTTTGGTGTTGTTTTCTTTTATTACCTTTGTAAGTGAATTCATTGTTTTTTTTATTGCTAGACAGCCCCTTTGACTAGCTTTTTTTAAATTGAGTATAATATAATCAGGAATGGAGTTTTTTCTTAAATATATTTATTTGATCGATTTAAAATTGAATATATTAACAGTGAATGTTATTTTGTATTGATAGCAATTGTTAAGCTGTTGACAGTAAATTACATTTTGTAGCAAAATGTTGATTTGGTTTAAATCCTGAGCTATAAACAATTAAAGGAAAAAGATATATTGTTACATATCTAATCATCAGAGAAATTTTGTTTTTTCATCAGTAATTTTGAGGTGTTTTTTTTTAGTTAAAAAGTAAATTAAAAAGTGTATTGTTAATTGTAGATGCATTTAATGTTTTAGTTTCTTTAAGAAATGCTTCCAAATTTTAAAAAATCAAAATAAAGTATATCATTAAGCCACTACTCAGCCTTACTCTTATTAAATATACGTTTTTTTTCAATACATATTCTTTATGCCCTAATTTTTTACACTTTTTTAGTTAAGTTAAAATTATTTTAACATTTCTTTATTCTTTTAGTAAATGTAAAAACAAACTTCTTTGAGTCAATAATTATAGCCTTGACACTGAATGCGCACAGATACTTGTATATATAGAAAAAAGAAACTTTTTTTATTAATAAACTTTTTTTTTCAACTGTAACAATAGTAGAGGCAGTTATCTTCTTTCACTGGCCATTTATAAAAAAATGTTTAGTGTATTAAAAAAAATGGCATTAAAATTATAAAAGAAAGATATTAATATTTAAAAATTGGGATATGTCCAGATATATACAGATAAAAAGCAATACATCAAATGATACTTTTCCTAAGCAGGTCTAAGGCAGCAAAAGTTAGTTAAGCCCTACAGTTATTTTAAAAAGGAGCAATCTAAAAATTTAGTGAAACTATTAACATAAATAAAATTTAAAGTTTAAAAAGAATTAATGCTATGAATACTGAAGGAAGATTTTTTAACATGTGCAGTTAATTTTTCTCGTAAGTTAAAAAAAACTCAAGACTTTGCCTCTTAATTATGTAAAGCAAAACATTTGAAAAATTGGGTTGATTCCCTTTGCAAATATTGATGTATTGCACTCGTTATTGTAACAGGACGCACCCTAATATTGTATTATAGTGCAACCAAACATGTTTAAGTGTAAGGGTAATTAAAGAAATGAGGGGGGGGGGGGAGAGGCAATGGGAAGAATTGTCAGTCTCAAAAAAACTGTTAATATATTCCAAAACACCTTTTAGACACAGAAACATAGATGAAAATTGATTATTTTTTTCTCTTTTCTTGAAGTAATAAAAAAGAGATAAAACATAAAAAACTTTTTTCCTGTTAACTGTTGTTTGATTGGGCGGGGGGGGGGGGGGGGATAAATTTAATTAAAAATCCAACTGCGTTATTAAACCTGTGATATCTGTAAATTTGTTCTTTCATGTCTTAACTAGTTTTAATACTAATTTTATTTTTTCTCAAAATATTATCAGTTGTGTTAGTGTGTTATATATATTTTTAATACATGTTTTAAATAGCATAATTTGTTATTTACATTTTTTTTTCTGTTTTAATTTAACCATCTTCTTTATCTGTAGTAGTCACCTACTGATTTATAATATAATGTTGGGGATACACCATAAATAAAAATCAGTCACCTACTGATTTATAATATACTGTTTGGGATACACCATAAATGAAAATCACATGAGGCAGATTTTAACCCCTTTCCACCCATTATATGTCATGTAACACTTTAAATTTTAAAAAAAAAATGTTCTAATAATAGTGGCCCAAGCTCAACTATGCAAGGGAAGTCACTCTGTTATACTAGTCCAGCAGAGTTAGCTGGATTTACTGTAACCAAATTTTCAAAAACTAGAAGGCTCATTTTATTTCTCCAATGTTTCCTAACCCTGAGTTGGTTATAGAATTTCTAATACATTACAGTAGCATTGCCTCTTCTCAGTTAAGTAATTCCAGTGGGGAGGGGTGGCAGGGAGAGCAGTGTCACAAGGTGTGTTCTTCACATAATCAGAGTTTCTTCCAGGCATCTCTTCGAAGCCCCCCCGAAAATTTTTTACCGCCCCCCCCGAACGATATGAAATTTATATAATTTATATAGAAAATATATACTTTTAACAGTGTCCGCCCCCCCGAAGAAAGTTTACCGCCCCCCGAAGATTTCAAGTGCCCCCCCGGAGAAAAAAGTCTGGAAGAAACACTGCACATAATTGCTCTAATAATACTTATGATGGGCATTCTCTACCCTTAGAAGTGTAGTAAAAAAAATTAGGCTATAAAAAATATGTACCTTCTAACTTACTTCTTTGTGAAAATTTTAAAATGTAGATTGTATATTTTTTGTATGAAATGTTTCTCACACTTATAATTCATCCTCGGTGTTAAAAGAAATACATCTTTTTAACAAGATCTGTAAGCTGATGTGTTTTTATCTGTTAAACTTTCTGGTCAATTTTTATTTTATTTTCTTTGCTAACACAGGCTTAAAGAAACAATTTTTTTATACAGAGTGTTTTTATTTGTTACATTTTATATGTATAGCCAAATTACCAAAGAATGTATTTTTCTTTTGCAGCTTTTGTGGGGTGTTTGAAACTATATAGGCTGTATCTAAAAGTGTGTTAAATATATATATAATGTAAAAATAAAATACATATTAAATGAACATTTTTTAATGCAATTTATCAATTATGTTTTAGACATATCAAGTGGTATAGAGTGCACTTAGTTGTTTTTTTTTTAGTTTTTTTTTACATTTCAGTTAGGTGATAATCACATGAAGCCCCCCCCCCCCCCCCCCCGACTTATAGCTTAGGTTTGTATGTTTTTAGAGCAATTTCCATACGGACAATTGCGATTATTAACTCGTCATTTCTGGATGGATGAATGAATGAATATGTGTCCGCAGCTTTACCGCAGCTTTAAGTCGTATCTCCTCCTCAACGAAGCAATATCGAGGACTAGTTCCAAAAGCAAATATGTTAAGCAAGTTCCGAGGATGATTGTGGGCCAAAAAAATTCCCGGAATTCCTTCCTGGATTTCCCGGAAAAACCAAAAAACCTCTTAAAAATGCAGTTTTTGGCCCATATCTCGGCAACCAGACCACTTAGCGACTTGAAACATTTACCAATCGATTCCTGCCATAATTTAGAACAATATTGCCGAAGACAAACCGATCGTTCTCCTAGCTTGAACGCACCCCAGCATTATACGTCTTTGTGATCACTATCTATTTTTAGATAACATAAGGAAATTGCGCTTAAATTGTCACTAGACTTTTTATTAACTTGTTTTATTTTGTGTGGTGGTGAGCTAGGTAGGGGGGGGAGTGTGCCGTGGGAGTTAGAATCCTCAACATACTCACGTACATGTAGGCGTATGTACAACTGGGAGTCCTGATTGTTGTAACAATTGGCTGATAAATCTTATGTGCTGACCCGGGTTTCTTTCATGCATTTCGGGGGGGGGGGAGGGTTCCCGCCTACCGTATAAACAAAATATATAGCGTACTTCAACCAATGTCCACCCCCCCCCCAT